GGGGGGGGGGGGGGGGCAGATATTTATATATTCGTGTTCACAGACTGTAAAAACAACCGCTTTCAAAGGAAATAAATGATGCAGGATATGAATATATGAATATCTGCCCCCCCCAATTATCGACTTTCCGGTGCCCCTGCCTCTGAGGCTAATTTGGTATATCCAAACAAATCCATAAACACTCAAACCTCCATAAATAGTATAAGGCTCAATTTTTTGCTCCTTCTGTAGCATTATCGAACGTGATGTCCCTTGCCCCAAAAATAGATGAATTACGTCAGTTTGCTAATGATCATGAGCCGACCATAATGTGTTTTACTGAAACTTGGCTAAAAGACACAGTGGTAACAACGTTATATTTATTAACCATTACTCAATCGTAAGGGAAGACAGAACTCGTGCCCAACATGGTGGGGTTTGCATGTATGTTAGAGCGTCTACTCCTGTCACTATTCTAACCGAATACGACGTAGAGGATGTGGGAATATTGTGGTGCAAAATATTGTGGTGCAAAGACCTAGCCGACTGCCTCGAGGGTTTTTCTCATCTTATTGTACTTATTGTTGCAACAGTTTATCATCCACCTACTGCTGACGACAATGTATTAATTAACCACATAACTGATAACCTTTCGAAAATAGAAAGCACTATGCCCATGCTGCGATTATAATAGCTGGTGATTTTAACTCCCTTAACATTAACCAAATTACAAATCAATTCCGTGTGAAACAACTGGTTAAATTTCCTACTAGAAGTGAACGTACTTTGGACTTGATTCTGACTAATTTAGCTAAATTTTACCAAAACCCTGAGAAGAAGCCACCCTTCGGCTTATCAGACCATTTTACCGTTACTATTTTTCCAAACTTACGGCCAAGTTCGTCTAATACAAAGAAATTTTAAATACCAGTGCGCAAAAGGAACAATTAGAGCTCATTTGAAGCCGCTTAGGAAGATTTTTAAGCAATATGGATTGGTCCTAGCCTCCTCCGCAGGCAACTCTTTGGCACAAATTGGCATTAAAAGTATTATGAAATTTTCATGCCAATTTTTTTATTCATAATACCACTTTTGCCAATTTTTGCCAAAGAGTTGCCTGTGGAGGAGGCTAGATTGGTCCGTACTTAACTCTTTGCCTACTAGGCCGTTTGCTATGTCCTCGAAAAGTGCCTAGAAAACGATTTTCATTAAGCATGTCTTGGAACTGAAATATTTTTATGGAAACTAACACTTTCGAACACGCTGAGTTCAAATCCGAAAACTTCCCGCACCGTGACCCGCAATTTTCCCACAAACCTCCATTTTATCTTCGCTAATTTCACAATTAAAACAAATTTTTTCATTGTTCAACGAAAACGACACGGATGGATGAAGACATACGATTGCATAACTCAAAATGACTAATTCCTATGAACCAGTCTCTACATTGAACAAAAGACTGGTTTTGCTCGAATTACTTTGAGTTATGTAATTTTAAGCGTGTTGCTTGTTGGACGTAAACAACATATCTTGTCTACAATTTTGGGAAGGTACCGATAACGCTTTAATTGTAAAATCCTCAGTTCTGGCTGTATCTCTATAAAATCCCATGGACGTCAATGTTAAGTCGTTGGTCTATGTTTATGTACTAATGTACTGTAAGCCCACAACCCCACAAGCTTAATCTTTAATCCTAATCGTGTTTAAATAAAATATACTATTATTATATCTGCATGGCCAATAATCAATACGGCTCTCTTCTCTTAAGCTTGCCCAGCCCCCCGCCCACACAACCCAGAGGCCACACAACCCAGAGGCCATACAAGCCAGAAACGTATTTCTAATTTTATGAATTGCCCTAGCTGGAGTTCAACTTATTTTAGATGATTCGCATGAACTGGGAAGATCGTCTGAGTTAATGAATTACGCAGAAATGTCTTGATGGTAGCTTGCGAGCAGGCTCTCTGATGACGAGCTCTGAGAGAGCCTGCTCGCAGGCTAGTGTACGTCTAAGTCACAGTGATGTCTAACGAGGTGAATTGATATGTTGTGATGTCGACTGATATGTAAGGATATCAAGGAAAATACTATTTCGCTGACCTCAGAATGACATTTCGTCAAAACTTTTTTCTTCAAGATTGGTTTAGAAACAAACTTGGAGTAGGGTTAGGTTAGAGATAGGGTTGGGGATAGGATTAGGGTTAGAGTTGGTGTTTGGAATAGGGTTAGTATTGGTAAAACCATTGCTTTGTTACGTTTTGTCACTTTGAGGCCAGCGAAATAACCTCTTCCGGATATCAAGCGATATACAATGGAGTCAGCCTCGTCCCAGGCGCTTAGATGTGCTAACTGGTTGCGTGACGCACGCGCGGGAATCGATGTGGACGCTTCGCTCCCGCTCCGAATTTTCCCTTTTTCCCACGCGTGTCCTCCCGCGCGCGCGTCACGCAACATCAAAGCCAATTAAAGCGCCTGGGCACAGAATAAAGACATACAGAAGTGTAACTTCCATTACAAAACCGTAAGGCGCTTTTTTACCGAAATAGCTGGCGGCCATGTCAAGCCCGTAGCTGGCTCTCAATTTCTGGGGGGGCACTCACTGCAGAAAGAATGTAACAGACGGTTTGAGATAAGAAAAATTTTTTTCAGTAATTTATTTTGGCGACCCGCCCGTCGCCAAAAAAATTTCGGTCAGTGTACCATTTTAGGGGTCAAAAATTTTTTCCGGACAGACCAATTTTTTCCAGACATACCAAATTTTTCCGAAACCTAACAAAATTTTTCGAAACATCACAAAATTTACCACAAAATTTACAGAATTTGTCCCATGATTACAATTGGTTTCCAGGTCCTTTATCTCAATTTTTCATACCAAATTCGGAGTGGGCGGGCACTGGGGGGCATTGCCCCCCCCCAGGCCCCCCCAGCTACGGGCCTGGGCCATGTTCTTAGCAAGTGCCCTAAAGAGAGGCATTCACACCCCTGGAATATTAAATTTTCAATATGTTTTCAGGGGGGTGACTGCTTCTCTTTAGGGCACTTGCTAAGAACATGGCCAAAGATTAGATACTATAAAGATGTGTCACTCTGCGAAAATTATGTCCGAGATTTTTTTATAGCCGCCATTTTGCCAGTAAGTGTCAAATTCGTCAAAATTCGTCATATAGCGCGAGCATCGCGATGGCAACCTATTGTATTCAGTCTCGCCCATTGAACTAAAATATATTTTAGTTCAATGGTCTCGCCGCCATTTTGGCAGTAAGTGTTTATGCACTCGTCATCTCGCGTGATCACTCGTGATCAGCACGGAAAATTACGGACACGCAAACATTAGGGAAATACGTCGAGTCACAGAGTAGAGACATACAGAGACGTAACTAGTGTACCCACTTTTTTTGTGCGCATGCTCGGCAAGTTACTAGATGCATGCATCTGATTGGATGACGACCTGATGACGACTCACTTTAAACTTGCTGAGCACGCGCAGTTGATCATTTTTCGCCCGGTCGCCTGAAAAAAGTGGGTACATGATAACGTAATCTTCCGCAGTGTTTACAACGGTCAGTTACGTCTCTGTATGTCTTATCTACTCTGTGGTCGAGTGACACATCTTTATAGTATACAATTACTTTATGGTTTCCGTGTTTGGATGGCCTGATCCAAACACGCGGGAATGTTGCAAGAGTTAAGAAAAGCGCGCGAAAGCACGAGCCGAAGGCGAGTGATTTTGCGCGCTTTTCTTAACTCGAGCAACATTCCCAAGTGTTTGGATCAGGCCGTCCTAACAGGGAAACCATAAAGTAATTGTTTTATAAAATAACAACAGCACGATAGTCTTCCGTGTTTGGATGGCCTAATCCAAACACGGGTTTCGACCAATCAGAGCACGCGTTATATACATGTTATTTTATAATATCTAATCTTTGACATGGCGGACTGAAAAAATCCCTTACGCACCAGTGTTACGCACTTTTAATAAGAAGATACACTTCTGTATGTCTTTATTCTGTGGCCTGGGCGAATGGAGTACAAAAAGTGTTTTACATTCAAATTAAATAAGCCAAATTTTAAAAAGTGTCACTGTGATATGACATAAATATGGAAGGTGATAGTATAAAGGTGACGGACAACTGGGGTAAAAATCTAGTTTTGAAAAGTAGACGATGTACATTTGAGAGGGCAGAAAAATTTATCTCGAAATTATATTTTAGTGATATAAATCTTCAGAGCAGGTGAGTTTGACACGCGTCACACGTCCAAAATTATAATTTTATTACTAGCTATTTGTCCTATAGATCCAGTATAATTTTATTAGCTATTTGTCCTATCCGGCCTGAATGCCCGATACAAAGCGATAGGGCAGTAATTGCAAATAATTTGCAATTTACTGTAATATAGGTTTTCATCTGGTACATGTATTAAGTGATGTGCTGGATACTGTAGATCACGTTAAAAAATGACGTATGTTAATGTATCGGTCAACTCCAGCAGTGTCCATCCCCCCGGGCCACCCCCAGGCCTTCACAGCTTTTCCTAATCCTTTCTGCCGAAATCTTTCAGCCCGGGGTGGGGACTTCGACGTTTTCCATCATGGTGATTGGTGGTCTATAACATGGCAGATTTCGCTGGAAAAGATACTGAATTAGTTTGCAAATGGCTTGATACTCATTGTTTGGGGTGGTCTTTCAGTACCATTGTCATTGTGAAATAGTTTTTCTCCTTCAATGGACAATGATCACTATACAGATGATTCAATTAAGGTTGGCCTTCCAAACCCTTATGGGTTTTCACCTATTAGGCCCTTAAACTCAGAACATTGCCTTTGCAGCAAGTATCTTTTTTGTCGTGAGTCTTCTATATGTCTTAGGTATTCTTGAAAAGCCAAATTTCAAAGTTTATATCTAAATAAGCAATAATCCATCATCCATCGCTTGCTCAGAGTTTACGGTTTAAATTTTTGGAAGGACAACCTTAATTGAATTAGCTGTAAACAATGATAAAACCTGGCTTAAGTAAAGGCAATATTTTCAAAGGTTGACATTATTATATCATAGGTCTAGCTAGATGCGCTGGAGTTACAGTATAGGGTTGAGAATTAAATACTGTAGCACTAATATAAAACATTTTTATTCTTGTTGTAGAACTTCTATTTTGTACTTCGCATTTATATTGTCCATAGAATTATAACGTGCAAAATAATCAACATGTACTAAACAGTCAATATTATTGGTCGTGGGTGCAGGGATTACATAGACCCAATTTATTTGCCCAGGGGTAAATGTAATTCCTTGGTGGGGATGAGCACTGCTGGAATTGACTGATACATAACTCATTGAGTGCCACAGCTCTCCCCTTGGTGATCCAGAATCCAGATACCATCATGTTTGGCAAAATTTTGCCTAAGTATTATGCTTTACAGAGCCTGAAATAATTTTAAAATTTGTCCGGAAAAACTTCCGATCAAAACGAAATTTGACCGGAAATTTGCAAAATTGACCGGAATTTTTTTTAGTTTAGTTTGACAAAGTCCACTCCCCCCCCCCCAATGAACAAACTCTGTCAAGCATGCAGACGTGCACTGAGTAAATCACTCTACTTGCAATTGTGTAAGGTAATTGTAACTGTAGCGAAAATTCAAAATGGTCGTGAGCCGACGGGTGTTTTAAACAGGGGCGGCGGAACGGATTTCAGTTTGGGGGGGCTAAATTTTTTTTCCGTGACCTCCCCCCCCCCGTCGCCAAAAAAATTTCGGTCAGTGTACCATTTTAGGGGTAGAAAAATTTTTCCCGGACATATACAAGAAAAGGGATAAAAAAAATTTTCCGGACCTATAACAAAAAATTTCCGGGCATACACGATTTTTACACAAAATATCCCAAATTTTTCCCCTTATACCTAAATTTTCCAAAAATAACCTACATTTTTCCTTAATTATCAAAATTTTTCCAGAGAAAACTAAATTTTCTGGGGGGGGCTTAACCCCCCACTTTTACTTCTGGGGGGCTTTAGCCCCCCTAGCCCCCCCTGTTCCGCCGCCACTGGTTTTAAATTGATTGACGGGTGATTTAAATTGCAAATTATTAAGACTCACCTCACATTTTCACGACAACACCACGCTGTAAGCCACCTTCTTGTCTATTGAGCCTGTGAACCAGCCTAGTTCCTGGCCTTCTCGCTTCCGCCTCATTATTTTAGGGGGAAATTGATAAGGTTTGCAGGTTGACCGTGATAAAGCTGTATTATTTGGAGACTGGGGAAACTGACAGCCCGCAAGTTCACGACAGCCTGTGCCTCACCCGCGCTTGGAAGGCCAGGGACTAGGCTGCCCGTGAACTATACTTTCCAGTTGATTACTTTATATTAGCCTAATATAGATAATCCAAACTTACAGATGGTACTCACTGTGCTGAGCGCCGACCCGATCATTAAGAAAACATTTTTCTTTTTCTCAAAATTTGGCCGGACAAAATTTCCGATCATTTCAGCATTTGGTCGGAAAAATCGGAATTTGGTCGGAAAACCGCCGGCCACCGGCCGTTATTTCAGGCTCTGCTTTATGAAGAGATAAGCACCCTGACTGGAAATTACAGAAAGCGTCAAAATTGAGTGCCTGATATCTCAGTTGCACAATACAATCTAAAACTTTCCACACTGGAATAGATAATCATTAATTAAAACAATAGTACACTATGGGAGGAAATAGTGAAGTATAATGTCCAAGTACTACCATTATTATCAAGTATCTGGTTATTATCTGGTGTCCGGTAGACTACTATCTGGTACCATCCGTATACAGTACTGTGCAGAAATTTTAGGTACCTTAATTAATTTAAAATATTCATTTTCTGGCCATTTTGACATAAACACCATGTGACAAATAAAGCACACCATTGATTTGTGATGTTCTTACCAGCACTCTTCTGTTGATTGTCTGGTGTTAGACAGAGTAAAATAATAAGTAGGCCCATTTGGATATATAATGCAAGTTAATGGGTTAAAAATCCAGGGGCGCCAGAAGGAAGCAATGTGAAGGGGCGGGGGCAGCCATTTCAAAAGGGCACTTGCTTCTCAGCCATCATTTTTCTGGGCGGCAATATTTGTTAAAACTTTATTGTATGGATACTTGATTATACTTGTGGCTATTATGGATCAGCAAACTTCTACATTAATTTGAACAATTTTATTCATTGCATCGTGCTAAACAGGGTTTTCGAAATAACATTCTGAAAATATGTCAAATGTTATAGGCTGTTTTTGTAGGTGAAATTTTTGCCGGCTGTTTTCCAAGCAAAGTTTAGTTATTTTCTGGAGTGGGCATGGCCAAATAATGGTGATGTAAACCAACACAACATTTGTAAGAACACAGCAATACATTTTATTTGGGGTAGGAACAAACAGTAACAAGATCTGTGTGAATCAGTTCAATTAAATTAACAATAAGAAAAATAGAATATTGTTGTTTTTATAGCTTAATAGAACCGAACTTAAACTTTTTGTAGGGAAGTTAAACAATCTATAAATATTAATAAATTTATAAATACGTCTTAAACGACTAAAAATCTGTCACTCATGTTTACAAAATCTGGTGCTCAGTGCATTTTGGATTCTTCTCACTATAGACACTACAGTACTATAGTTTATAGTTGGAATCACCAGTCACGGTCACTCAGTCACTGCTTCTCATTCCGCCCAGGAGAGGGTCTTCACTCCCACTGAGCAGAGGTAACTAGTGGGATTTCTTGACCGGTTCTGGGGCATCTTCCTTGATACATCAGCTTCCATCTCCTCTTCATTTTCCTCACTCTCCGATTCCTCTTTGCCCTCAGCTCCAATGTCTTTCAACCAGTCTCTTAGGAATTCTTCCCTCCCTGTCTCTCTTGTCCTCTTTGATGCGTTTCCTCTTGCAGCATGCTGCTTTCGTTTCCCTTGGGTGTTCCTCCGTGATTTATCACTACTCCAGAGGTCCACAAGGTCACCAAAACGCTCACAGAAAACGTACAGGGTTGAACGTGTTACTTTATTGCGCATTAAATCAGTCAAGTTGCGTTCGTTCAACTTGTTGCGCCAGCCAGGTTTGACTACACGCAAATTTGAGATGAATGACTCGCAGACTGCATTCCCGTACGGGCAGCAGAGACACAGCTCGATTAGTGCCCACAGTCCCCATGCTTCCTCCAGCTTTATCTTCCAGAGCATTGGCCACAGATCCATGGAGTCGATAACAGCTTCGTAAAAGCATGCGGTTGCCGATCCCCTATGCTTTGAAATTAAAAATTGCCGGCCGGCGGCTATTTCGAACCCTGCTAAAGGTGCAAAATAAAATCAGTAAACGGACGCATATTGCTTGATTTAGTATTAATTTTACTGCAATTGGTTAAAAATTAAGCAAAGATTGCTTAAACATTGTTCAAACACTCATTAATAATTCATAAGCTTATTGGCAAATCATGTCAACCATAATATGTCACGTGCAGTGGCTTTAAACCTGATAAAACACTCCTAATTAGTATTCTTTATATAAAGGATACTAATGATGCAGTATCTATTGAATTCGTGTCCTCATTAGTATTCTTTATATAAAGAATAAACCCTCCTGCTCGTTTATTAAACAGTACTTTAAAAATACTTATAAATTCCAATTCCTGTGAATAACTCACGAATTTCGAAGTGCAGTTCCGGTAAAAAGGGCAATGGTAAAAAGGGCAACCTGTTGCCCCCGTGCTGATCCTGCACTGTTTGGGCAATGGGGGAAGTTGCCCTCGCTGCTCCTGTGGCTCCGGTGCCCCTGTAAAGATCACCTTGAGTTAAGCAACCATTGTGATGTCTAACTGTTAACTAAATGTAGATACAGTACATGCTAACTAATAAATATCAATTAAAGAACTCTAAGAGTTAGTTTAAGCCACTGGTCTTTGCAATTACAAAATTTGGTCACTCTTTTTACAGCACCAGCTGTGGCCGGTGCATTAATTTACATGTATTATGCGGTGTTTGTCCACCAATTTAAACATTGAACAAAATGATATGCATTGAGAAGTCTTTTTTTAATTTTGTATAAAATTTAATAATTATGGTACTTAGACTTTATTCCAAAACATGTCCTGTGTTGGAATTGCTGCATTGTTCTGTGGATGGTCGTGTAAAATATGAAGATGCTATGCAGTGTCAGTTTTCACCTGCAAAAGTTGGGGACAAATTTGGACCTAGGTAAATGCATTTAATAAATAAATAAATTAATTATAACCATTTCCCCAGTTCACATTCTTTAATACCCTACCACAATATTGCTGACCACTTAATACTTAATAACTATATACCCCAACATTTTAGCTGACAGTGTACATCCATAGCAGGCAAATGTATTTAACTTAATCTATAATTGTAACACTGACAATAATTCATTGTTTATTATTTTGTTTCCATTTTGGTCATCACCAGCTACAAAACCTGCCACATTAACAATTTTATTATTTTTAACTAATTCTGATGCAAAAATCAGCCTGGAGATCTCCATGTTAAAGTGCCAAATTTTCCACTGACACTGTGGTCGTTAATCTTCACTGCCATATCAGTTTCACCCTCACCCTATAAGTGGGATATCACCAGATGACAAATTAGCAATTATTCTGATGGCGAAGTGCTTATCGGTGAATAACACATAATATATATATTAATGTACATTTTTTAACAAGAAACCCAACAAAATAATGATCTAAATATCGGTTTAAGAATTCAGAATTAATAAATTAAATTGTTTTATTCACTTATTTTTAGTTGGAGTACACATTGGTTTAAAATAACAGCTCAGATTCCTGAAGACTGGAGGGATGAGGAAGTGCATTTTAGATGGAACTCAAATTCGGAAGCAATGGTAAGAATTTGGTTGTTCTTGTTATTCTGGAAGATGCTGGGCCCGGAAATTCCAGCATTTCAAGTAATGGTCATTCTTCTAATATTCTACTGTTAAGTAGTTGCTATTGATTCCAGTGTGGTATTTATTTTTTCCTTTTTAATTTCTTTTTAAGGTTTGGAAAGATGGTAAAGCACTACAGGTAGGTGAGATGAAGTATTTGCATGATTATTTTTATTAATAGATTTCCATTTTAAAACCATCTTTCACAATTGGTAATTACAAATACGACCGTATACTACTGGACCAGGAACTAATTGTCATCATGGTTTTCAGCTTACTAATACCACATCCAATTTAAGAGGCCCACGAAGGGGTTATAACCGACAGGCGACATTCCTTAAAAAGAGGCGACAGACTATCTAAAAAGGAGCGACAAACGACAGCTCCTTTTGGCACATTTTCCAAATATCACTCGTAGACTATAACCGTGTGACTATACAAATTGAAAACAATGTTTCTTTCCAGGGATTATCTGGCTCAGAACGTACAGATTTTGTCCTGACGGAGCAATCAGTACCAAATGAAAGGTACTGTAATGTGGTACACACAGAAAAATTTTATAAAATCAAGTCACATAAATAAAGTCACATAAAATTTGGTTGTACTGATTCCAATGCTGTCAACATACGGCGGGCCATGACCTCGGTTGTTCGTCTTTGAATAGCTGGGGCAGGTTTTACGAAGCCTGCATAGCCCTATCCACTGGATAGTGATTTTTTCAAACTTTTTAAAATTGGTCGCCAATTGATTAATGGAAGTTAAATTAAAAATAAAATAGTATGCAATGACAAACGGCGAAACGATGATATATACTATCATATATAGAAGTTGTATAAAAACTCGTGTTCATTTACATAACCGTTAGCTTTGATTTTCTCGGCTTAGACAACGTTTATTTTTAGAATTACTTTGTCAATGGCCTCATCGGGAGTGTGGGGGCGTGGGGGGAGTCGTTAATTAAAGCCGGTTCATGCTTTATCAGATATAAAACACTCCAGCTGCACTCTCGTGTTTTATATCTGATAAAGCACTCTTGCTCGTGTTGTAAATGGTACTTATTCGTCTAAAATGTTTCGTTACATCTGAAGCTTCATGTTTAGAAGAGATATAAGCATGCGCATTTTAGGCTTAACACTGTATTCTCACTTTCATTTCAGCTTTACGCTTTATATTGAAATGGCCTGCAATGGTTTGTTTGGTGTTGGAGAGGGTACAATGATCAGTCCTCCATCATCAACCCGGTATTTTGATTTATCAATGGTTGAGATTGCTGTTTTTGATCAAGACTGTTATCAACTTATATTGGATCTGACAATGCTTATTGGAATGGCACAAGTGAGTACACGTTAAAGGATATGGTCATTGTTTCGGAAACATGTAATACGTGCAGTAAGTGTTTGCAAGTGGGTTGTAGCAACTTGACTGAATATACTTTGGTGTTTTTGTTTATCACCTTGTTTTTCAGCATCTTCCAGAAGACAACTTGCGTGGTTCACAAGCTCTTTTCGTTGCTAATGATATTGTTAACATGTGCGAAGTCACTAAATCTGAAACGTTCAAACGGTAAATTACTCCTGTAAATACCATTCATTTAACTTAAACAGTCTTCTGAGATGCTTTACTGCGCGATAGTCTTTGGGAATGGAACAAAATCCAGGATGGGCTCATCGACCCTAAGGGGATTTTACGCACCTGCGTATCGCGTTGAATGCTTACCAAAACTGCCGTAAATTAAGGGTGATTGCTAGAAAGTATACTTCAAAATAAGGTTTCCGTTTTTATAACGTAGAAAAAACCATCCTAACGCAAAACTAAACCCTAACCCTAATCCTAACCACAATCCTAACCTAACCCTAACTTATTTAAAAAATTGATATAAAAACGGAAACCTTATTTTGAAGTAAAGGCCTACTATCTAGCAATTGCCGTAAATTAAAGCAGTTGCCATAACACATGGCGCTTTTACCTTGTATCACCAGACACCAAGGTTTTGGGGTTCCAGAATATTACAAACCATGCAATGCATGTGTACAGTGTACGGCCCTGGTAGCGAAGGGGCTATTCTCCATCAATCTAACCTAGCTATACCTTACTTCAGGCAATGTTGACCACACTGTAAATTGAAGATCAAATGTACATCTACTGTATGAACCTGTCTTCCTATGTATCAGTTTTTTTGTTTTCTTTCATTTATAAAAAGCTGTCACGAACATGCTGAGAAGTTTCTAAAACAAAAGAATGGTGAAAGTCAGCACGTAATTCATGCCATGGGACATTGTCATATTGACACAGGTATTGAAAATAACATATTAAGCGCCTGTTCATATGGGGAAAAGTTATCCCGGTTAGCGAGAAAACATTTCGACTAGCCAAATAATTTTGTTCTGTTCATATGGAGAAACGTTATCCCGCTTACCAACGTTATCCCGCTTACCGGCTGTGACGTAGCACTGGTGTGACGCGATATTGAAAAGTTGCTGACACGACAGAAAGTTTTCCCGCTAAGCGGGAAAGTTGTGCATATGTTGTGTTCATGTGGGACAAACATTTTCCCGTGTACCGAGATCTCGCCTGTCAACAAGCGCGATCTTGGTACATGGGAAAACTTTTCGTCTCATGTGAACGCAGTGTGACTTTTCATATTATGTTCATAACAGGGCGAGATCTCGCTTGTAAACTTGTCGAAATGTTTTCTCGCTAACCGGGATAACTTTTTCCCATACGAACAGGCCTTAACTCAGGTATTTATCGTACCCAGTCGTATAACTATTCGCCCCGCTGGTTTTCGTGTCTCGGTGCCGCACGTGTTGAAGCGCTTGAGTATTGTCCCATATGCAATGTCAGGTAGTCCAGTACCAGTGGATCGGACCATAGTTAATATAATGAGAGGGTTTGGAAGGCCGGGTCACGTGACAAAATAACTTATTGTTCTCGGTCACGTGGAACTCAGAGTGCATGCTTTGAGTTGTTAACTAGCCCGCGTGCAGGCCCAAGGGAGCAGGCTGAAGGGAACTTGATAGTGGGCCTGCAAGCAAGGCCCGGTATTTTGTAAAACGCCCCTTTTCATAACACGCCCCATTCGCGCGTCAATTGTCAAAAAAGAACCAATGACAGCAACCCAAATATTAACAAACAAACTCGCATTAAAACGTTGCGGGGTTTTCTCTGCTTTAATATTCAAAATAGAAACAATGTGTATTAAATGCCTGTGTTAAAACTAAAAAAAAACAAGCAACGCAGTCAGTAATTGCCAAATTTACAAGTGCTCATTTTCAACTAAAATCGGAACAGGCAAATTAAGACGAATTTCAACAGAAAACCAGTCTCAAACTTCAAATCGTGAGAGAAGTCGTGCGACCACATCAACATTTATAATGTTGCTTCGCTGTCGCCATTGTTATAAATAAATTGTCTCACTTATCAGATCGTGTGTGCAATTCTTGTTGGCGGCGGAAAGTACGAAATTTATTTCAGTTATTTCATTTGGTGAGAACTCTACAAAAGAAGAGAGCGTTCAGAGTCCAGATTGTTTCGTTTCAAACGGCAATTTAATACCGTCTTCTCTTTTGCTCTCTCAGCGAAGCCTTGTAAATCGCAAAGTATTTTGAATAGGCTTACATCACATGCAACTGCATCTCAACATCAACCAAAAGATAATTTTCTTGAGGAACATATAACGTATCAAGTCTGTTTGAAATTAATGAAACTCAATTAAAGGTTACTATAGTTTTACCCCATTCGTAATAAATGTTGCTATTCCAACACCTCACGACAAGCAATCCTCATTGGCATAACGGCAAAAACATTTCTTCCTTCAAGTAAACAATAAACAGTCTGTTCTTGTTCCATTTGTAATCGAAAAAAGTGATCAATTTTCGAATTTTAAGCTTATCGAGAGCCTTTGTCTATGCCTTTGTGATGAATCACTGACCTAATTATAGAATCCAACAGCAAACAGCCAATCAGAATGCCGCGTTCGTGGGCGAACGCGGAAAGTACAAAATACCGGGCCTTGCTTGCAGGCCCACTATCAAGTTCCCTTCAGCCTGCTCCCTTGGGCCTGCACGCGGGCTAGGTGTTAACATATACGATAGTATAATAGTTTAAGCCAAACAGAGCCTAAAAACATTAAATTTCATTGATTTTTCGGCGATGCCGGGAGCGAATTGCTTCATATTGGCTGCGGTACATGTCGAAATAATGTTGGAGTTGGAATTTTCCGGATTCCTTCAGGAAAAGACGCATTATCAACGAAAACTTGTGAAGCGTGTATCAACAATATTACAAAGGACCGCGTAGTGGATGAACATTTGCGAAGGAAAATAAAAAAATGGGACGTTGTATGTTTGCGAGAGGCACTTCAAGAAAGAGGAATATGAAATGTACTTATATAGACTATAAAATATAGTTTAATAATAAGAATTTACAGTGTAAGTCGCAGGCTTTTTACACTTTGTTTATGCTGTCCCCAGAGCCCATCGTTGTGTGGTACGAGATTGGCTGATTTTATGGGTAATTTTCAACTGATAAATAGGAATGTGCCAATTAGTTAACTTAAGAAAGACATGAGTGTTCTTACTGTGTACAGTATGTATCTATTTATTTTCTGAACATTCATAACTTAGAAGTTCATTTTTATCTATCAAAAGTAGGTGGAGCAAAAATTGCTGCAATAGTGTTATTAATTCCACAGTCATGTTAGAAATGCATTGTAATTTGTATTATGCTCAAATCATACACTACACAATGTATGTTTAATTAAGCCACAATGCTTCTACTTTATCCTTTTAACATTTGTCTGATGCCATATGATTTTAACTCTTTAAGCTGCAATGCTTAATCTGCACTGCCCTTGATGTGTAAAATTGTCTGATGATAGACACTAACAGAGTAAAGGAATAAGAGCACATTGAGATATGTTAGCCTTAATGAGCTATTAAACTATTAGCTTATTTAAACTGCATGACCAAAATTGGCTGAATATTACATAAATGAGAGAAAGTAGTTTAAGCTGCGTGTATATTTTATATAATATATTGTTGTTATTACTACTGTATGTGTTGATGAAAAGATTACACATAAAATTATGAGGATAATTCATTGATACAGTATCATATTCACATTTACGATCATTGATATAACGTTACTGTACTATGTACCTGACTATTTCAATCTTCAAGTGTTTTCATAAAGCTTTCTTTTTCTGTGTACCCGGACTTATCTTATATTTTTTTCTTGTATCTACAATCAGATCCTTAGCAAAGGAAAACATCTTACAGTTACAAATAATTTGACTGAACATTCTTTGTTAACAAAAGATTGACATTCCAGTGATGTTTCTACATCACAGTTTTAACAATGTTGCACCACAAGTTTGCCACAAGAGGGGAAGTTACTAGCTAGGATACTGATAAACTGTGTCCTTGATAGACAGTGTCTACTGATAGACAGTGACCTTGTCTTTATTTGATGTGTGTTTTTAAATACTTCATCCATGTCCATCTCGACAAGCAGAGTTGTTTACTCGAAATCGTCCTCAAAAGGTGAACAAGAGCTTTCTAAACGCTCAGTATCAATTTCCTCATCTATTTCTATGTTTCCAAACCTAAAACGTGCGTTTTTAACAACCTTTTCCAGCGGCTTTAGCAGTGTGACTTCGCTTCACTTGAAATACGATAGTTCGCAAGTTCCCGGCACCCCGTCGATACTATACACAGCGTCAGCAATTTGGCTTATCACACATAAAAACATCTCAAAAGCTGCCATTTACGATGGAGATTTACGATATAAAACCTCGTATTTTACCCAAACCTCGTATAACGAGCAAAAATTAAAGATTTCTAAGTTGTCAATAGGGAATTGTATTATAGAATCACGCCATGATGCACCTTAACTGTCACGTGATGCCTTCTATCAAGTTCAGCTCACGAAAGGAGGCGTGATCCTTTGAAGTTTGCCGGCCTTCCAAACCCTCTCATTATATTAACTATGATCGGACGATCCATCGATTTTCTGATTTTTAGGAAAGGTACAGTGTACAGAAGATAGAAGGTCTACTCAATCACTTTTCAATAACTGTATACTGTACTGTACGTGCGTATTAAATGTACTGTTCGTATTAGGTATAGATGTAGTTTATTGTGTACTTACGTCACTTTAACAGGTTATTAACGCGTTTCATTGGCTTGTGAATGATTTTGACGAATTTAAAACCAATATATAAGTCACAGTTAATTAATTGAGCGACCATCATAATTGTAATTGCTGATATGCAAATTTTATGATTTTTTTAATTGCATGGTGATTCAAAATAGACCTTTCCGGTAATTACGTCACTACTACACTGTTTTCAACTTAGAACCACCTTAAATGGAATGGATTTTAAGTTTGTTTCTCGCGTGCTATGGTAAGAGGAGCAGAACATCGTTCTTCAACACATGCATAAAAAAGATTTTGGATTTTGATTATTAAATGTGGAAGCTGTGAAGAGTTTGATTATTAAATGTAAGCTTAAACACGAAAACGAGGCTAAGGGGCCAGGCCCCTTATTTCCACATTTTAATAATAGTCAAAATTCATAATTCTTTTTTATGCATGTGTTGACGAAGGATGTTGCGCTTCTCTCTTTCTCTGACCATGGCTCCTGAAACACAAACTTAATTTAAAATCCATTCCATTTTAGGTGGTCCTAAGTTGAAAACAGTGTTAGTAGTGACGTAATTACCGGAAAGGTCTATTCCATCAATCCAACATGTTTTCCCTCGCAGGAAATGTAAGCTAGACAAGAAATCAGATATTTTGTTATGATAAAATATAGGTACGCTAAGCAGAGATGTATCTGCGCAAAGGGATCTTAGTTGTTGCTGTGAAAAACGGCATTTACATTTTGCTATTTGAACATAGAAAGGCACGATTTTCTAGAATCATCACTTAGTTAGAGATAATACACGGTACATTAGTTGTTAAAAGCAAAGATAATACACATCTGAAACAATTAAAAATTGGGTAGTAATAAGAAAATTAATGCATCAATTTAGCGAGTCCAAATTCACGGGAAAATGTCTTTCAATTCTTACAACCTTAATGTGGGACTTTGTTACATAATGTTGACAGAAATAATTGGAAAGACTGTTGCACCATTAGGTGTGGTTGAATTTCGGCTACATTGTATATTATTTATATATTTTATTGTTTCTATACATGTTTATTTGTTCACCTTGGGATATCTGATCACAGTCTGATTTTTAGTGTGAAGTTTCTTCGTGATGACTGGGGGGAAATTCAAACGAGTCAGTCAGTCATTCAGTCAGTCATACAGTAAATTTTCCGGGGTGGTGGGTGTGTGGGGGGTATGGGTGGGGGGGGGTATGGGGGGTGTACGATTTATGTTTGTAGTGATTTATTGTACTTAGTCAGTGCTTTGAAGGTTATTTAGGCAAATTCAGTTGTTTTATTTAAATATTCTTTTATCCTTTTGCCAAGTTCACAAAAATTTAGAGGAATTGTTTTCGTTAATGTAATTTTTTGTAAATTTTATAACATTCGCTTCTCATGTTGTATAAAGGATCTTTACCCCGGGACACCCGATTCTTTGTTTACCAGCCCAATTGCATGCGCTATCAAGTCATCTGTGTCACGATGGCGTGACGAATGACGATATGCTAGGAAGGAGCGACAGTGTTGTTTTCAAATGTATATATAAACATTTCAGACATGAATATTGAGTAAATCTTTCAGAATCTACGCAATATATAAATTGATGTTATGCATTACGGGCATGCAATTAAGTGCCGATATTATTTAGACGGTATATTCATTATACAAACCTAGGAAGGAGCTATATAGACAGTGCTTTTTTTCAAGTGTATAAACATTTCAGTCTTCAGACGTAAATATTGAGTCGAAAATCTTTGAGATTCTAGGCATTCGATTGAGTGCTGATATTATTTTCACGGTTTACTCATTATGCAGAGGTAAGAAGGAGCGAGACGGTGTTGTTTTCAAATATATAAACATTTCAGACATGCATATAAACATTTCAGACATGAATATTGTCATTGAGGAAATCTTTGAGATTCTACGCAATATGTAAATCGATGTTTATATATAATTCCTTTTCTATTATTCTTTGCTTCCTTGTTTTTGTATATAGTTTAACTTGTATATATAGTTTAATGTGTATATTCCTTAATTTATAAGTAGTTATTGTGTGACGCCCCTCATGAAAAGCGGCTCACGTTGATCGAGGCTAGCGTGTTTAAATAAAGTTTTACCATACCATACCATACCATACCATACCGTACCATACCATACCCACTTAGTCCTCGTAGTCTGCACTGTCTTGGTCACAAACGTTTTGGGGAAAAATTGCCAAGCTGCGTCGTGACCCCCGGAATCACAGGGCCACAGGTTCGATTCCTGTCAGAGGGCCTATATTGGTTAGGTTCCACTCGAAATTTCCATTGCAAAAATCCTTCAATTCATTGTTTTATGGAGCGAGATGCCAAAAAAAACTCGATATTTAACCAAACTATGTTTTCCTATAGTAATTAAATATCAAAAGCAAACCATGCAGGTATGACGTGATGTTGACAATGGAAAAATCAAACGATGACCATGCACTATTTTCCCATTCATCCAAGTAGTGTTGAGAATACAAATGGCGGACACTATAGGGAGGGGCAACCGCGCATCCCGATAATTTCTGAAAACCTTTGATTGTCAGCTGAATAACTGTGTAAGCTGTGACAATTATTTTTCGACCATGAGGGCATTGGTAGGCAATAGATTAAGCTATATATTGCATGGAATTTAAGGTAAAATGCTTAAAGAACTAAAAATGGTGGCAACTTAAATTCGCCCCCTTCCCAATATTTTGCGAAGTGTCCGCGACTGGTTTATGAGTGCAACCATGATTACATTATCGTCAAATTTTAGTATGTTAGGTATTTTGCGAAAATTGCTTGTTTTTCACCTTAATTTTCACATATTTTCAGGTTGTGCCAACAAAATAGGTTAGAAGATGTGCTTTTCTTTCTAGAAAAAAATACTGCATTTTGGCAAATTTTGCGTGCAAGTATAATTTGTATACGAAAAAGGCGACTCAGAAAATGAGCATCAGAATAACATTTTGCCCTGTATAATTTTTCTATAGTAGTTTTAAAATATTATTTTTAGGTAAAAAACAGATAAAAATAGCAATCAGATTTTTCTAATGACCTCGCTCGTTCAAAATTCTATAAACACGAATTTTGTCAAATTTCCTCTTCTGTTTTGTTTTCCACTGAAATAATCGATATTAATAGTTTACATTGTAAAAATTATGGCAAAGTGGAAACTCAAAGTACCACTGCATTTTTGTGGTGATTTGTGGCCCTAAACAGCCGCTGCAAAATAGTCTTTTGAAGGCTTCGTTCATGCTGTTTATGTTTTAAATCAAGCAAGTGGAAGCACGCATATCTTCTTTTCCCGCTGAGAACCCGAGCAGTTTTCGCGCATGCATGCTCAGACAATTTTCCTACCTGTTCATATTAGCTAGAATTTGTTATTACATATGCGCAATGCAAAACTGATGAACAAAAAGCTTGCGAGAAATATGATATCAAACGCGCAATTTTCAGTTAGCAAATATGAAAGTTACAGTTTATAATTCCTTGGATTTACCCGCATCAGTATGTGTTTTGACGTTATTATATCCCGATGGGTTGTCACAATCATTATTGTATTATAAATAATAACTTCAAATTGTCCCTTTGTGAACATTGGTGCATTACTGATACAGTCTTACACGATCTAAAAATATTGCTCGTGAGACGTGACTAGGACACGCTGGCTGCATCTTCATTCTTAATCATCGAAAATTTTCGCACAGCCTGCATTATTCACGTGTATGTTTCGCATACATAGCATGACAGAATCGATATCATGATTTTGGTGGCATCTCACTCGATTGAATAATAGTTGAAGGGTCTGCATGCAGTGGAAATTTATATACATTGATAGATAGATAGAATCCGTTTATTGAAATCATCTAGAGCTGAATTACATGCATGATTTATATACAAAGCATTTTTATAACTATTTACAAAATTATTAAACATTTTATAAAATTATCTCTAAGCTATTAGTACGTACGGCATACAGTCAACTATGGAACGCTTTGCCTATACAACCACCAATAGTGCGCATGATTATAGTACCCGATTGGCTTTAAAATCTACTTTCTATCTTCGAAAAATAAGAACTAATTTTGGTAAATTTAATATTACTATATTAGATATTTTGGACCGAAAGTCTGGAATGAAATTGAAGATTCCTTAAAGACTTTTAATTTTTCTCGATTTGAGAGAAAGTTAAAGGTCTGGAGTCCTATTTCAAATTGTATGAAATAACTTGATCTACATCGTTTTTTTTTTGTTTTTCTTGTTTTTTGTTTTTCATCGTTTTTGGTTTTTCAATACTTGCATGCTTTCCTAATTATTAAATTATTATGGTAACATTAATTTTCGTAACTTTGTATATATTAGTCACTAGTTCTTATATATTTTTGGGGATCTTATCAAAGGGCTAGATTCTCCAGCAAGGACCTTGATACTTTTCTTTATTATATTATTATTAGTTCATATATCTTAAATTTGATGTATTAAGGTAGCTACCTTTAATTTTAATATCTTTTGTATAATCATATTCAATTTTATCAGTGTTATTGTTACTATAGTTTGCTATTGCGCTTTCTTCTGGTTCTGTATAACGTTAATCGGCATTTGATTCAAGGCTGTTTTTGTACCTCGGTCAGCAGATATGATGCTACGATGTGAGTATATAGAACTGTGTTGGTGTGTTTGTCAGCTTCTAGCCAGTTTGTGATCTAGCTTAAAATGACGCATCTCTGCATGTGTATACTGATCACGTAGAATTGGGATGATTATTTTGAGATGACATGCATGCAGAATACCGAAAAGTTAGAATGCAAAATATGCATGGCCTGCTTTTATAATTAGTTACGCTAAATATACATCAAAGAAACAACATTTTCAATTTTTGTAAAAATTCTTGAATATGGCGAAACATTCATACATATATTTGAATATATGTATGAATGTTTCATATTCTGGTTACAAAATTTTGAATTTTGGCGAAAAGTCTACCTTAAATTCCTTCAAAGCAAAGCATTTTAATCACATGCACATCCATCAAAATTGAGGCACGATGATAACAATGAAGACGCAGCCAGCGTGTCCTAGTCACGTCGCACGAGCAATATTTTTAGATCGTTTAATATACTGTATCAGTAATGCACCACCTCCTCAGCAGGCCTTTTCGCATACTAGGCCTTTCGAAATTATGGAACTGAGGAATACCCATGCGGGGGATTTTACAAAGAGCCAATTTGACGCATGATTGCTTTCGATGATTTGCAATGAAGAGACGCAGGGCGCTTATATATTAATATATATAAGACGTTCGGCTAGAAACCAAGCTGTGTGTCCTATACATACAACTCAAAATGTTGCGCAGGTGTTTTCAACGCAGTGAAAGAGTTCTAGCTTTAAGGCTTTTTCAAACTCGATGTATTCGCGGTTATTCGGTACATCTCGAAAGCAAAGTAACTCAGTCACCTAATAACATCTACAAGCAACGTAAAATAAGCAAGCGACCTCTAGATGGCCTCGAGTCCGTTTTTCACGAATACCATAAAACGGGCATTGGTTTCTCGTATCTTCTGACACCGATAACATCCAAAATTCCACTTGAAGAAGAACCACTGTGCGAAGCCCTAACCATGGTTTCATACACGCAACCTTTGCTTCGTGCAACAATAACCGAAACCCCAGAGTTCAAATATTTCGAGTGCATGGAAGGACGTACCAGTTTCGGATTTTCAATCCTAGATCGAGACATCAACGATATGGAGGCAATTACAGAAGAAATATTCGCAAACACGAAGTTCGACTCTGATGATGGGCCTCTTTGGAAAGCTGTGTTAATCCCAGGAAAATTTGACCCAAGCTCTAAGTCATATACCGGAGGACTGGCATTAGCAATATCACACGCTATTGCTAATGCGCCCAGTTTAACAGTAGTGTTGAAACAAACTCTCGGCTGCCTTGAAAACATTACCAACGGAACAGCACCAAATTTAGAAGATATTCCGAGTTTACCACTATATCCAAGTTCTGCGACACTTCTAACCCATAAACTTGATCAACTCCCTACACCAACAATCTACCATCAACATGCAGATTACATCAACCCAGTACTGTCACAGTTCCCTACCATTGAAGACAATCCCCAAAAATCAGAACCCAAAACGAAAGTCCTCATACGTACCATACCACCCAACCAAGCTGTTTCCCTACTTCAAAAATGCCGAAAAAACAACAGCACTGTCACTGGGGCTATCCTTGCCGCCTGTCATTTCTCCTTCAGTAGTCTTCTCAAGACTAATCAATTCTGCACTACCACTACAAATGACGTTACCTGCCTTACTGCAGTCGGCAGAAATCATCGCCCTAGTCTGCCGGCCGACTACGTTGCCTGTCACTATGGCTCGCTGACCTATGATATCACACTACCCTCACCAAATGAAGACTTTTGGAAAGTCGCACAATCGCTAACTAAATCTATTCACGATGATATAAGCCGTGATACACACTTGGAATTTTTATCTAAAATCGAACCAGACAGCAAAGGGTTTGTAAAACAAGTTCTGCACCAAGGTAGCCTCAAATTGGAATCCCGCCAAAAGTCATCGCTGACTCTATCCAATGTTGGGCAATTCTTCGCAGACAATAGCCCCCAAAACCTATTTCATCCGCAGGGGTTAATTGTGGGTACACCAATTCATAAACGATTCGGAACTTTTGGGAATTACATTATGGGTTTGAACGGCGCAATACATTATATGTTTTGCTACGATGGTAGTATCATTTCCTCAGAAATCGCTCAGAGATATTCAGACGGTGTCTGGGACTTATTAGAACTTTCACTTTCTGATATAGATGCATGAACAATTGAACTCTTAGACGAAAATGCTATCTTCATAGAAATTGTTTCCTTATTCGTTCAGGCAGTAATTTTTCTTCCTGATTTTATCCACGCATGTAAGAATATAATCACATTCCTAAGTCGAGTCCAAATTTCACGAGGAATTTCGAAGACTCGGAGTAATTTCTATTTGATAAGAAAAGATTTAAGACTATATAATATAGAAACGATACCAAAAACTTCAGTCTTTCGATTTTTGATTATATAACTTTGGATGGTTTAGGTTTTTCGCATTCTCTACTCAAGTCGATCATTTCTAAGAAGACACCGTTTGAGAATTTAGGTCTGTATTGGTTCAAAGAAAATACTTACAACACAAGGAGCCAATTCGAAGTTATATTAATATGGATAATTATATACAGGTAATTCAAAAAACGTTGTCCTTCAAAAATCGTAAACTTTAAACATTGAGCGCGCAAGGGATGATGGGTAACTCCCTATTTGGCGCGTGGAAATTTGCTTTGCAACAATGCAGGACATATGACGCACACTTTCTGTGTAGGGCTCCGGCTGTTTGGTTAACTAAACTAATGCCGAATCTGAGGCTCCAAATGAGCAATACCCATCATACCTTGCGCGCTCAATGTTTAAGGTTTAAGATTTTTTGAAGGACAACCTTTTTTGAATTGACTGTATAATGATTGTAACCTTGGTAACCGAAACCTGTATATGCTTTTACATTTGCTCTATTATCAGGAATATAGACTTAATTAACGATTCTGTCATGTCATGCCATGTATGTGAAACATATACACGAATCATGCAGGCTGTGTGATGATTTTCGATGTTTTAGAATGAAGATGCAGCCAGCGTGTCCTAGTCACGTTTCACGAGCAATGTATCAGCAGTGAATCAATTTTCACAAAGGCGTAGTTTGAAGTTATGTATATAATGCAATGATTGTGATATCCCGTCGGGATATTTTTACTGTGAGGTCAAAGCACACACTGATGTGGGTAAATCAAAGAATTATAAAATGTAACTTTCGTATTTGCTAAATGAAAATTGCACGTTTGATTTCATATTTCTCGCAAGCGTTTTGTACAGCTTAACTGCACACAGTTTTTTGTACAACTTAACCATGTAAATAATAATATTTTTTATACTCATTTAAATATATTTTGTATAATTACATTCAATTTTATGAGGACTGTCTTTACTACAGTTTGCTATACTCGCTTTCCTCTGTGTTAATTACTCGTTGGGGCACCTGTGCCCAGGCGAGTATAGATTAATTCGGCATAGAATAAAGATCCATATAGAAAGGCCACTTACGTCGGAAGCTTTGAAGTTTCTTTCCTCGCGCATGTCGCATTACGCATGTTGGCCACCATTTTCCTAGCCAGTCAATGACATTTTCTGGCCAATAAACACGATGTACTGGCTGGCTGCTCCGCTTTCTGGCCAGTAAACTACATATTTTTGCATAAAAAAGGAGGGCATGTTGCACCGCTGAGTGGCCCTTCTGTTACTGATCTCTATTCTGTGGTTTCGGCATGCATTTGTCACGGATAGTGGATCTCCAATCGTCGATAGCCACAAAATAGAATATTAATGAGCTGCCTAATTTTCTTCCTAATTATCCATAAGGCTCCTGTCAATTTTACCCAAATTATCCATAAATAACCCTGCATTTTGAGGAGAATTCGGGAAAATTGAACAATCCTACAACGAATTTCGACATGGAAACAGCAACCTTCGCAAATCGCAACTTACGTTTGGCTGCGCTGCTTTATATTTTGAGAAGAAAGTGACACCGTTCGATTCAGCGTAAGAAATTGTATTCACGGATATCAAGTGTATTACTAAACACCAGTATTCTAGGGATTTACGGCCTTTGAAAATCAAGCGAAATTGTATTGTTGACAAATCGCTCGCAGTACGTATTGTTGACAAATCACTCGCACTACGTTTGTCCTTGTATTTGTAATGCCTGATGGCGCAATAAGGATAAAAATACCACCGTTCGATTCAGCGTTAGAAATTGTACTAATTATGGATGTCAAATGTATTACTAAACAGTATTCTAGCGATTTATGGCCTTTGTCTTTGAAAGCCAAGCGAAATTGTATTGTTGACAAATCGCTCAAAATTATTAAACTAATTATAAAAAAATGCAGTACGTTTGATCCTTGATAACTTTGGTATCATTGGTTTTCTCTTTTTCGGCCGTATATACCAGTGGATTCGTCTCACTTCTCTCTTTATTTTGATAGTATTTTGAGCCCAAAAACCCCAAAATATTTTATTTCGAACGTTTTAATTTTTAAAACGCAGTTTAATCCTAGCGTACGGACCAACTGGCGGCTGACAGTATTGAAGAATGTAGCGTACTACACGTATAAAATATAACTTTACTTGTAGGGCCTACCGCATTTTAGTACTGTGTTAATCCTTTCGCGCTCGTATTCGACTTTTCCGCTTAGGGGAAAACCTTAAATCTTAATTGGGAGATCGGACGATTTTACCTGAAATTTGAACTTCAATGTTACAAATTTACTTGAAGTGTAATAATTATAATAGAGCTTTTTCTGATTTATTTCCACTGTCATACTAAGATTCCGAGGAAAAAGGGGGTCTGGAGGTCCTCCCCCAGAAAATTATTTTACATTTTTTAAGCTCCAGGACAGCATTTCTGGCGTTTTTTAAAGCAAATTTGTAAACGAATTGGATCTAAATTGACTGTATTTTACAAAAATGTTATCATTTCACAAAACTGACAAGTTCATTATGCAAATTTTACCTGAAAATATCAAATTTTAAACTTGAATTTTACCTGAGTTTCACAGTTGGGGGTTACCCCCCCCCCCCCCCCCCCAGTCTCTATGTCCCTACTGATCAGATATTATTTGCATCTGGACCAAATATCCAAAAATAAATAGGTTCGATTCCTGCCAGGGACCTATAGTTGCATTTTTCGCAGTTATTCCTGGTTTATCTAATAGGTGTAACAATTCAAGACACTTCATATACAACACGCTGGCTGCGTGTTGGTTGTTATCATCGCGCGTCAATTTTAATGGAATGTGTGATTCTGTAGTAAAGACAATCCTCATAAAATTAAATATAATTATATAAAATACATTTAAATGAGTAGTACGAAAAATGTCAACATTAATTTACATGGTTAAGTTGCACAAAATCGACTGTGTGCAGTTATAAAGCTGTACAAAAAGCTTGCGAGAAATATGAAATTATGCATATTAATAACTTCGAATTGGCTCTTTGTGTTGTAAGTAATTTCATTGAACTAAACACTGTCTTCTTAGAAATCATCTTGACTTGAGCAGAGAATACGAAAAACCCTATCCAAATTTATAGCCATCTCAAAATAATAATTAATTCCAGTTCTAAGTAGTTTTAAGTGATTCAGTATACACAGAGATGTCTCATTAATTTTAAGCTATATAGTCCGGTCAATCTGTGACCAGAGGTCAAAGAAATTGCAATAGAATTTTTTTCACTGGTAAAATGTGAGGAAAGGTGTCCTGATTAACATACTAAAAATCCCAAAAAAATCCCTTCGGTGGAACATGGTGAAAATTGAGTTTTTCTTACTTCTACCTATAGAAAACCATTGTGGGCAGAATGTTCAAATTTTGAAATCATTTTTAGGCAAATGTAACCTACATTATTGGAAAGCTTAAACAAAACTATATAAAGGTCAATTAAACCGTTATATTCAATTTACTGGTCAGTTTGTCGTTATTCTAGCTCAAAGTTGGAAAAATAGCGCAAAATTTGCACAAAATACAAATTTATGGCATTTTAAATCTTGTATAACTTCGGCATGATAGGCAAAAGCAAGATAACCGTTTAATGATCTATATTTTAGTTTTTTCTAAGCTTTCGAATAATGTAGGTTACATTTGCCTAAAAATGATTTCAAAATTCCAACATTCTGTCCACAATGGTTTTCTATAGGTAGAAGTAAGAAAAACTCGATTTTCACCATGTTCCACCGAAGGGATTTTTGGGGATTTTTAGTATGTTAATCAGAACAACTTTTCTCACACTTTACCACTGAAAACAAATCTATTGCGATTACTTTGATCAGGACCATGTACTTATAGTGATTTGACTGGACTAATAGCTAACCAAACTGGCTAGAGCCTATAGAAGCTAACAAACACACTAACACAGTTACTCACATCGTACTATTATATCTGCTGGCCCAGACATAAAAACGGTCTTGAATCAAATGCTATTAACACAGAGGAAAGCGAGTATAGCAAACTGTAGTAAAGACAATATCATAAAATTGAATATAATTATACAAAATATATTTAAATGAGTATGAAAAATATTAATATTTAAATGATTAAGGTATACAAAAGACTGCATGTGTGCAGTTATGCTGTACAAAAAGCTTGCGAGCAATATGAAACTGATCAAACGTTCCAATTTTCAGTTTGCAAATATGAAAGTACTATAGTTACGGTGTATAATTCCTTGGATTTACCCACATCAGTATGTGCTTTGACGTCGCAGTAAAAATATCACAGTAAAAATATCCCGATGAGATATCACAATCTAGCCTCCTCTGCAGGCAACTCTAGTTCAGCAACGTTAAATTATGTTATCAAAAATGTTAATTCATATCAATAACTATAAACGATTTATGCGGAATGTAGGAAATGCAAGGAAATACCATAATGTGATATGATAATAAACAAGAAGCGTAAATTAAACTAGTTGATGAGAGGGAATATGAGGGATATGCATGGTTTTCTTTGTACTTCCCACGTTCCTGATAAATAGTCGTTTATAGTTATTGGTATATTTTTGTATGAGAACATAATTTAACGTTGCTGAACTACAGAGTTGCCCTTGCGGTGGACGCTAATAACAATCATTGTGTTATAGCTACATCTAAAAATATTGCTCGTGAGACGTGACTAGGACACGCTGGCTGCATCTTCATTCTACAGGGTTCGTAGCGGTCTTTGAAATCCTTGAAAGTCTTTAAATTGGAATGCAGGTCTTTGAGGTCTTTGAAAAGTCTTTAAATTGTGTGAAAAAGCGAAGAAAGTCTTTAAAAGTCTTTAAATTCTTTAGTGAGGAATTGATTATACGATTTCCTAACTAATAAAATAGATTGATTGAATCAAGATTTTCGCAAATATCGACGAAAATGCGCATTTTAGGATGTGATTTCACGGGACTAATTACTGGGTGAAAATGGTGCTTACACTCGCAATTTTTCGACAGCTGATTGCTTTCAAAGGCCTTTGAAAAGTCTTTGAAAATAGGCAGAAAAAATCTTTGAAAGTCTTTGAATTTTTTGGGTCTTGGAGACTACGAACCCTGTTCTAATCATCGAAAATCATCGACAGCCTGCATGATTCACGTGTATGTTTCGCATACATGGCATGTGTGTACATGGCATGACAGAATTGTTAAGTCTCTATTATATTCATAACAAAGCGTATATTTAAAAGGTACACGAGGCATGTATTCATGCATCTATATTCATAGATACAGGCAGAGAATAAACCTCCAGGGTACTGGCGGTTATAACGTGCAAATGTATGATTTATTATATATCTCGGATTTGTTGTTTATTAAACTGACAAATGATTTCAATGAATATTTTATGAACTTTGACTTTGTTTCTTTCGAATTAATGAAACATTTGGTCAGCTATGATCACGTATCAACTAAATATCGCATGAAAATTACGTTCAAAATGTGGTTGGGGCGTTACTAGCAAGATTATTCCCCCCCCAGTATTGTGTACCATCAGTTTTTTTGAGAAATGCCGAATCGAATTTCGATTCTCTGCTAAAGCTTTTAACAAAGAACTTTTTACTTCTTCGGATAAAGACGAAGCAATATACCCTTCCACAGCAGCAGTGATAACAAAGAAACAAATAAGTTTGAAACGTTTTAACATTAAAATATTTCTGTAAAAGCCGAAAAATGAGAATGACACCAAGCATGCATGCCTATCGAAAAAGAACGAAAACGTAACTACCCCCCGGCCCCCAGCTATATGAGTTCCAGCCAAAAGCTTGTGGTGTAATACAAAAATATGAATGAAAAAATCTATAAAATGAGCTATGAATAAATCTATAAAAGCCTACCATGCATGCAGTCACCGGGACATGAAATCCATCCATTTATCTGCTCATTATCAATGAAAACCTACCTTATTATATTTAAGACGACGCTTATTGAGTGTATCCACACCGGCCAAGCTAAAACGTTTGCTTGACCGCGAACCCGTGACCTTTGGTTTGCTAGTCCAATGCTCTACAATGTAATTTGAATCACAATAAGGTGTCCTCTCTTTCATTATGTGAAATCACATGATTTTAATGAATTGAGAAGCTACCTTATTTTAATGAATTAAAATATAACATGTAATTTATTTTTAAGCGTGGCTGTGGCCTTATGCTGAAACTGTAAGGAAATGTGGAAGGAGTTGGTCCTCGGCTGTTCGTCTCATGGAAAAATATCCTGAATTTACCTTCACTTGTTCACAGGTAATCATCACGCTAAGTTACTGTTGCATGTTTATCTATATTTGTAACCTTTAGTACCGCGTTTTGAAATCATGTTAAAAAACCCCACCTCTTAGGCGTCTCTTAGGATTGGACACTTGTTGGGGTGGGAGGAGGGAATATTTCCTGTTAAATCGGCATCAATATACTAGTGCCCAACATCCCCAGCCACTGCAGGCCTGCAAAAGCCTGCTGTTTTATGGCATGTTGTCTTTTTTATATTCAACCAGGCTCAACAATTTGAATGGGTGAAAAATCATTATCCTTACTTGTATGAAGATATCAAGAAATTTGTTAAGCGAGGAAACTTTTTACCAGTTGGTGGAACATGGGTGGAAATGGTATATGATCTTTTATATGCATGTATATATATCCTTGGTTTTTTCAATATCTAATATATAATATCTACGCGTTCTGGGTTTTTAGGAATAAGACAATTGCATGTGTTGTTCCCTTACTAGTTCTGCATGATTGGTAAATTTATCGTATCCTGTATATAGGACGGGAATATTCCTGGAGGCGAATCATTTGTTCGACAATTTTTATTTGGTCAGTCATTTTTCAAGAATGAATTTGGTTCTTTTTGTCAAGAGGTAGTGTATATTTTGAACTTGGATACCTTTTTTGTAGTCGGTTCAATTGCGTCAAGCTTTCTCTGTTACTCTTCATAGTTTTGGTTGCCTGATACGTTTGGTTATTCAGCCCAGTTACCGCAGATCATGGTTGGAGCTGGAATTAAATATTTTGTAACACAAAAATTGAGTTGGAGTTTGATAAACAAATTTCCGGTAAGTTTAATTTTTTAAAAATACATAATATTTGGAGAAATGCATGAAGATGATGATTGAGAGAACCTCATAGATAAGCGCGACAACAATTGCTAACAACGAGGTTGGGATGGTATCAAGTCACAGCATATACTCTATCTGTGAATCATATTATGTGCATGATGTTGCACCTCATTCATATATTATACTAGAAAATACATGCATGCAGAAACTCTCGCCTTGCTGAATTCCAAACATATGAAGTATTGTCATAGTAACACGATAATTTTAAGAATAGTTCTAAAATTGAAAAAAAAATTTCCGGACGAGTAGGTTGCACACACTTTGCAGGGACTTTATCTCATTTTTCTATACCTAATTTTGGTACTTAGCCCAATAAAACAGATATGTTGTCCTTTACGCGGAAATATTTAACACAGAAAAAAGACTGGGGCCTAACAAAAATTTTTCGGGGGCCCCCAGCACCTCGGGGCCCGGGGCAATTTGCCCCCCCCCTGCCAACCCCCCCCCCCCTCTCGGCGGCTCTGGTTATTATACGTAATATAAGCTTCAATTTAATGTGAAATTCAACCACAAACGCTTCGCAAAACGTTTTAAAATGTTCTTAAAACTAAAAGCAAACAATACATCAAATTAAAAACAAACTTACTTCAATAACGCCGGCGACTTTGCTCCATTCTTTTAGACGTTTTCGGACGGTTTTTGGCTCTCAAAAAGGTTTTGAAATTTGCAAAATCTTGCAAAAACCGAAGCAAAGACACAATATATTTGCTGATTTCCAAGAAATGTTTGTTATTTGCTGTCGTTATTTGTCATACAACAACAAATTTTAAATTTGACCAATCAGTGTTCGCTATTCACGACAGTTCGCCACATATTTTGAGATCAGTGAGGATGACCACCCACTCAACATTGTTGGTCACCCACGCCCGCGATCATTGATGAACTTTAGACTTCGCTAATGCTTTCGTTTCTCCGGGTGTAAATAGCCGGGCGGAATTAGTACCCTCGCCCCGGGCTTACCCCCGGAACGGCGCTCCGCGCCGTTGGCTCGGGGATTATAATATATTAGTAAATAATATTAGTAAATTCATTATAATATTATATTAAGGACATATGCTGCATTTTGTTCTAGCACAACTCCTTTGTATGGGAAGGCATTGATGGGTCAAGGTATGAGTTATTTTGAGATGATGCAGATCTTTGATACGGCCGTTGAAAGGACCGAATCATGCACTTCATGCAAGAAATATCGTACACCTCCAAGAAAATCCATTAAAATTCCCGAAAATCCCTAAACAATCCGTTTATGAAACACCTAAAAATCTCTAGAAATGCCCCAAAGCTGGATAAATCTAGGATTTGGGGTCACAGTTGATGTCTACAGTTATATTTAATAATTTTGTTTGACAATGACTTAAAAATAAAGTCCGAAATATTACCTCAAATTTTTTTTTTTAAATTTCAAGTTGCCAACACATGAATGTTTTATAATTTTGTGTGTAGGAGTAGATGAAATTCATGGTATTTACTTATGCGGCAAAATTACCCTTTTTAAGGCCTTTGTATACTTCATGACGTAGACACAAAAGAAAGCTAATTGTAGACATTCACTATGATAAGATTGATTTCGTGTTGAGATTGGAACGTTGTTTAAATTTTTCGTTCCAAAGTTCCTCCCCTATCTTGGTTTCCTTGGAAATTTCATGTTTTGGCCGTGTGTTTACTACTTTACTTTTTACAGATGCCTTGCTCATTTCCCGCCTGCTGATACGTATGAATCTATGGCAGATGTCGATGACGTAAGTTTGAGGTTGAAAAATTATCTGAAAAAGATAAATAAGCTCGTCATTATAATGTATCTCTTTAGTACAAGTTGTACAGTATAAAAATGTAATTTTATTGCCTTCAATATCAAAACCCTATTTCCTTACACGTGGTCTCTTTCTGATACCTAAATATATATTACATCACGTGACATGACGTGACTACATTACATCCCTCCTTTTCTTTAAAATAACTCATTAATGTTAATTGCCGTTTATTGCTTATTACCTTATAAAGTTTACGTGTCCGCTTTACCAGTAATTATTTAACTAGTTTTAACATGTCTAACTTCTATAAAAGTCCGGTGGTTTTCGATTTTGTCTAAGACAATACCTTCGTTGTAGATCTGGTAGATCTTGTTGTTGCTCTTCAACTATTGTTGGTTGCTGGTTTTCTACTATGCCGTCGTCAAAATCGTCTTCTTCATCATTCTGGTCTTCCTCACTTGCGTTCTTGTAATTTGTGAGACATTTGAAACACGATACATTCCGGGTTACGGTGCGCTCTGTATTACGAGCTGTTACCATGTTGCCTTTGATTTCAATCACTTTAAATGGTTTTGGATTGAAAGGCATTGATAACTTATTGTCCTTCGGGACTTGCATTAGCACGTAATCACCAACTTTCAACTGACTTTCTTTCGCGTTGTTTCTTCTATCAGCATGGACTTTCATTTTCTCCTTTTCCTCCTTATCTCGAACAACGTGGTGTTCCACAGGGCCATCATCGTGTTGTAGGGATGAGAAACTAGGAAGCTTATTTCTAATTGAGCGATTGAACAAAAGTTCAGCTGGACTAAGGTGTGTCGTAGAATGAGGTGTGGATCTGTAGTTGAGAAGAAAAAGATCTAATTCACTTTGCCATCTTTTTCCTTCCGAATGAGCAGTACGGATTGCTTTTGTTACTGTTTTCATGAATCGCTCTGCCTCACCGTTGACTTGAGGCCAATAAGGTGTGATTCGGCGGTGATGGACTCCATGTGCAGCTAGATATTCGGTGAACTCAACCGCATTGAACGGGGGTCCGTTATCGGTTATCAATTCTTCGGGATATCCATGTCGGGCAAAGATTCTTTGGAGTTTGGAGATCACAACCGTGGTTGTCGTGCTTTGCATCACTTCAACTTCTGGATATCTGGAATAGGCGTCAATCACGACCAACAATTTCTCGCCATTTGGGAATGGACCACAGAAATCTGCATTAAGTGTGTGCCAAGGATGTGGAGGTAACTTTGTCATATTCAGGGGTGGTTGACATTTTGGTGACTGGTGTACTGCTGCTTGGCAGGGTACACATTCTTTAACCATTTGCTCCACTTGCTTGTCAATACCAGGCCACCATACTTTACTGCGTACAAGCATTTTAGTTTTAACTATCCCTTGATGTCCTTCATGAGCGATAGACAGGACACGACTACGGAGACTCTTTGGGATAACGATCTGTGAATTTCGTAGTATAACTCCACATTCCGAAACTGTCAACTGTTCGTGCTGATTACGATATGGGCTTAAACAACTATCTGTTTTGTTCCATCGATCTTCCTTTACTGCGCTAGTTACTCTCTGCAGTTCAGGATCATTTAACGTTGCGATACGAATCTCATCGAGCGTGAGAGATTTAGGAACCGAGTGACTTTGGATGAAACTGACATATTTCTCCGCTATGGTACTTGACTTGTAGTTGGTGAATAAAGGTTGTCGAGACAACACGTCAGCTGGGTTGCTGCTACCTGGTCGATACTTGATATTAAACTTGTATTGTTGCAATCGTAGTAACCAACGTTCTATCCGGAGTGGCGGTTTGGACTTTGGGCTGTAAATGACTTCCAATGGTTTGTGGTCAGTGATGAGGTCAAATTGTGTTCCAACAAGGTAAAGATGAAAACGCTCACAACCCCACACTACAGCCAATGCCTCTTTTTCGGTCTGCGAGTAGCGAGCTTCCACAGGCGTTAGGGAATGACTAGCATACGCTATGCAGCGATCTTGCCCATTTTCTTGTGTTTGGGCTAATACTGCACCAAGTCCGACAGGACTTGCATCCACTGTTAATTTTGTAGGTCGATTTGGATCATAAAATGCCATCGTACAGTCCGAAGCAATAGCATTTTTAACTTTGGTGAAAGCTTTCTCATGCATAGTTGACCAAGACCATTTGCACGATTTGGTTGTTAATTCACGTAGAGGGGCTGTTAGAGTGGAGAAGTCCTTAATAAATCGTGAACAGTAATTGGCCAGACCTAAGAAACTGCGTATTTGGCTGACATCTGCTGGTGTTTTGAAATTTTTAATTGCCTCGACTTTCTTTGGATCTGCTGACAGTCCGTCCTTTGACAGAATATAGCCATAGAACCAAAGTGACGGTTGATTAAACTTGCATTTCTCCAGGTTTAATGTAAGTTTCTTGACAACTAATCGCTGTAACAGTGCTTCTAAATTCTTGTCATGCTGGGTTTGGGTTTTACCCCATACAATAATATCGTCTGCGATATTTCGTACCCCGTGTAGACCTTGGAGCGCTTGCTGTATTGCATTTTGGAATACTTCTGAAACATGACAGACCAAATGGCAGGCGTTTATACCGAAACAACCCCTTGTGTGTGCAAAAAGTGGTAATGTTACGCGAGTTCTCTTCTAGGACTATCTGATGGTATCCTGCTTTGAGGTCTATCTTAGAAAACACGACAGCACCAGACATTTCTTCCATTAACTCATCAACTGTTGGGATTGGATGTCTCTCCCTTAACAATGCCTGATTTGGTCTACGGTAATCTCCGCATAATCTGATTTCATCTGAATTGTGTGGTTTGGGAGCAGCTACTATTGGTGATACCCATGAAGTAGGTCCTTCGGCAGGTTCAATAATATCGAGACTTTGTAATTCTTCTAGTTTATCTGAAACTTGCTTTCGTAAATGGAAAGGGACTCTCCGAGGGCGTTGTGCAATAGGGGTAACTGTACGATCAACATGCAATGACTGTTCATAATTTTGCAAACACCCTATTCCGTCAGAGAGTTCTGGAAATTTATCTAAAATTTTTTGTGTATTAATGTCAATGTTTTTCATGCTATTTCTGTCCCTTATTTCTCGATTTCCGGAGTCACTTTGACTGTTCGCGTCACTTCCGTTTGAGTGGCTTCCGGTGTTGATTTCATTCCTACCTCGACTTCCGGTTGTTTTCATGCTATGAAATTTAGAGACTTCGTTAACTTTTATTTTTAAAATGCCTAACTCTGCGGCTGTTTCACTACCGAGAAGTGATCCCGCTTTGCCGTTGACAACATAAAACGTCGATATTGTACGCTTTCCATTCGATTCAACCGCTAAACGACACTTTCCGAGCAATGGCAAGGGCTGAACGGCATTATATGCATATATATTTGTTTGTGTTGGCTCTAATTGTACATGTTTATTTCTTTTCCTAATACAAGCGAATGCTTCACTATCAAGAATATTTGTCGTCGCTCCTGAATCGATAGTCACAGCGATAGGGGTCCCATTGATCTGTATTTGAATGTTAGTTATTTTTGATGATGAAACAGCAAAAGTATACCCATCGTCGGACGAATTAGGAGGGCTTTGTTTTTGGGTTTGTTGTTGTGCAACTCTAACAGACTCTCTCGAATCTTTCTTACTATCTTTCGGGGGATTTTTTCGACTTCGACAAACTCTAGCGAAATGATTGAGCTTTCCACAAGCTCTACAGGTTTTGCCCTTCGCAGGACAGACATTTTTATGCCCTTGTTTAAATTCATTTCCACAATTTCGGCATTGATTTTGTTTGTGTGGTTTTGGTACATATTTAGCATGTCTTACCTTGTCTTTAGCTTCGTCATTTCCCTCGTCTTTTACACGATTAACATTGTTCCGAGAGTTATTGTGTCCCGAGATATTCGACGCTTGTTTTTCTGCTAATTCCTTCGCTCGCGCCATGGTAATAAGCTTAGCCAATGTCAGATCTGTCTCGCGTAAAAGCTTCGTACGAAATCCATGAGACGAGCATGTCATAACAAACTGATCGCGTATTTCATTCTCGGCGCTTTCGAATTCACACGTTTCGGCTAGTGTACGTAGACGAGTTATGTAGCTGTCTACCGATTCTCCAGGTGTTGGATGTGTCTGTTTAAACACATAGCGTTCATATATTACGTTCTTTTGTGGCTGAAAATATTCGTCGAGCTTCTCTAGAGCTGTTTTGAAATCTGTCCCGGTGTCTTGTAGTGTTTTGAATATTTTATGAACCGACGGGCCAGCTACATACAATAACACTGCGCGTTTCCGTGCATCATCCTTGATGTTGGCAGCTACTGTATACATATTAAAACGTTCTCGCCATTCTTTCCAGCGTTGGGCTAGCGAGGAATTATCACCCTCTGCATCAAACGGAGGTGGTGGTTTTAAATCCAAAGTTGTGGCCATCGAGATTTCTTCTGTGTTCACTTCTTCTTCGTTTGGGTTCAGCATTAAAATAAACTCGTCGCCAAATATAATGTATCTCTTTAGTACAAGTTGTACAGTATAAAAATGTACTTTTATTGCCTTCAATATCAAAACCCTATTTTCTTACACGTGGTCTCTTTCTGATACCTAAATATATATTACATCACGTGACATGACGTGCTACATTACACCAGGCATAATGGTCTGGGGGCCGCCGGCAACCCTCTCCCGTCGTTCGTTCGATACCGGTTGGTAAGCCACCTATTCACCCGCCTCTGACGATAGCGTTGAGTTTAGCCGAAATCTAGCTTAAACGTTAACATACGGCGTTCTAGCGGCTAGCACGAGACGGACTTGATCGATACTAGCTAGCAGAGTCGGGAAGTATTAACCTGAGTATCAGGCCGTACTTTTTAGGGCACAGGCACGCCTGATCGTGGGCGAAGGGGAGAAAAGTACGGCCTGACACAAAAGTGGCATTTTGCCTGGTTGTTCAGTCCAGAATCTGGACTGAGCGCTGATTGGCCGATTAGACAAACGATTTTTAAATCTGTCAATTGATTGGCTGGTGCTAATTAGATTATACTATTGTTGTTGATATATTTTATAATGATCACAATTACAATTATAGCCGGCCAACTAAACGGCTGAATTTAAATTAAAACTGCAGTAAAATTAGAAAATAATCGCAAATTAGCGAAATATATTGCAAATGTAGCTTATATTAAATCGCCATCAGATTGCACTATCGACTGACGTATAGTTATAAAGTATACTTAATATATATATTACTTTATAATTATACGTCACTGTTTGTTGATAAATACGGCAAGCGCCATGTAAAGCTCATTGTAGTCACTGAAATCTCTGCGGAGGAGAGAGCAGTCGGGTGGCGATTTAATATAAGCTACATTTGCAATATATTTCGCTAATTTGTGATTATTTTTGTTAATTTTATAAGTTCATTGCAGTTTTAATTTAAATTCAGCAGTTTAGTGGGCGCCTATGCTATAATTAGATTGTTGTTGTCGTTGTGTGAAATTTAAATTTCTCCTGCGACATTTTGATTGGATACTAAATATAAACTTTGCTGTGGGCGGAAAGCGATCAGGTTAAGTTTTGTGTCAGGCTCTATTTGTAAAATAGAGCCTGATACTCAGGTTAGGAAGTATGGACTGAAGAGGCACTTTTCTTTTTAAAAATTTTATTCGTAATTTACCCTTCGATATAAACAGATGACAGACTACTGAAACATTCCCATCCGAATGGAAGATAGCAAAAGTTATCCCTCTTCATAAATCAGGGCCTAGAAATCTGCTCGATAATTGCCGCCCAATTTCTATTTTACCAACAATCAGCAAAATATTCGAGAAAATCCTTTATGTAAGAGTTAGATACCGAAAACGGAGGCTCTTAGTCAGATACAAACCCGAGGGGCCGTAGGCCCCGAGGGATTTATCTGACTAAGAGCCTCCGTTTTCGGTATCTAACTAACTTAGTTCATATTTGTAAGGATTGACCCACAATGAAATTTACTTTATGATATGTATTGTTCTTTAAATGAGTTTGAATTACCATGGTTGTAATAAAAACAAACAGGGCTATTTTGATATGCATCAATTCTCGTGTCGCACTACTGTATACTATCAATGAGAAGTGATTAAATATTCGTTCACCAACCACAATTACGATGAAATATGTTTGAAATAGCTCATACAACCGAGAAGAGCTAACGAAGATTTGTACGGGTTTGTCGAAGCAGAGATTCTCAAATTGTTCTCAACAGGGTTTTATTTGCAGGATAAAAACCAAATGGGAGGTCTTTCATTGAAATTCAAGACCGAGGCGTGCAGCACCGAGGCTTGAATTTCAATGAAAGACCGACCATTTTCTATTGTCCTTGGGAGGTTGTGGGACGAAATAAGGTTGAACATGCGCATTAAACACGCTTTAATGTGGTTGAGCATGCGTAGTATATCATTTCGCGTCCCACAAGCGAAAGAGCAGATATTACTGTATAAATTCCTTGCACAAGCAAGTTTGATGGTCGGTTCAGCTAGTCCTCGTGCACCGAATGATAAATATTCTACCCAAAGGTAGAGTTTGACGGGCTTTGAGGTACACGGCTGTTGTCTCTTTCTCGACTCAGAGACGGTGCAGCGTTTTCTAGTCGAAAAGGAGATGTGGGGTTTGAGTTTGGTTAAAAATTCAAGGTATCTAACTCCATAGTGACCTCCAAAAGGGGTCACTATGGAGTTAGATACCTTGCATTTTTAATTAGGCATTCAATTCTATTCATCAACCCCGCTTTTCCCTGTGGAAATATCAAATCCCTCCCCTTGCTTTTAGATTCTTACCCAAATAAAACCCTATTGAGAACAATAGATATCCGCACAAATATGAACTAAAGGCAGATATTCACCTATTTAAATACCAATAATATCATTTCGAAATATCAGTTTGGATTTTGACCAAATCATTCTACTGCCGATGCATTGATACATAGCACGAACGAATGGTATACAAATTTGGATCGTGGCATGTTCAACATTGCTGTCTTTCTTGATCTAAAAAAAGCCTTTGACACAATAAATCATAAGATCTTAACGTCAAAGCTAGGGTTTTATGGGTTTGAGTCCTCCACACTTAATTTTATTAGTTCATATTTAGGAAATCGATCACAATTGTGCTACGCGAATGGGCATTTATCTAATTCCGCGCAATATTAATTACGGAGTTCCCCAAGGATCTATTTTAGGTCCTTTGCTTTTCCTAGTTTATATAAACGATTTACCAAATTGTGTTCGTATACGTCTAGTGTTAGAATGTTCGCAGACGATACTACTCTAACTGCATGTGGCAAATCATTATTGGAAATTGAATCGAAAATAAATAGTGATTTGGCAAATGTTAACGCGTGGCTCTTAGCCAACAAATTAAGTCTAAACCTTGTTAAAACTGAGTATTTATTGATTGGAAGTCGATCTAAGATGAATAATCTTACCTCTGAACCTAACATTGTGATCAATAATAGACCCATTAAACGTGTAACTGAAACGAAGTCCCTAGGTATTCTAATTGATCAATTTTTATCTTGGGATAGTCATTTAGATGAATTATGTAAAAAGGTAGCAGCTGGAATTGGGGCTATAAAACGACTAAGGCCATATTTTAACCGTCTCACTCTCCTATCCGTCTATTATGCTCTGGTTGACTGGTTCAACCGTATTTTGACTATTGCTGTCTTGTGCAGTGGGATCCAATTGGTACCACGCTTACAAATCGATTACAAGCACTCCAAAATAGGGCAGCAAGGGTCATCTTAGGATATAGAAATGAACATGGTCAGTCTGAAGCCGCTTTGTCTGAATTGCAATTGAAAACGTTAAAAGAACGCAGATTAATCTTTAGGGGCAAGTTTATGTATAAAATTGCTCATGCGCAAGCACCACCTGTTTTAACCGATATCTTTGAAGACTCATCTGCTCCTCAACATAATTACAATTTAAGAGACCATGATTTCAAGTTTTACTTACCAAAACCAAAAACAGAATACTTGAAAAATAGCATCCGGTATAGTGGAGCAAAACTCTGGAACAGCTTACTTTGCGAGTTAAGAAGCGCAAATTCATTAAATCTATTCAATTCGTTGATTTCTGATACTAGCCTAAATGCTGAAGGGGTTATAGCGTGTTTAAATAAAGTTTTATCTACATCTACATCTACTAATTTACCGATCCATCAAATTGAATTGCGACTTAAGGGCCTGTTCATATGGGCAAACGTTATCCCGGTTAACGAGAACATGCACCGGTTTCGACTAGCCATCAGCCATGCAAACACTTTTGTTCTGTTCACATAGAGACTATAGAGTATACTGTAGAGAAACGTTATCCAGCTTACCGGGTAAAGTTTCTGGCTGTGACGTAGCATTAAACATGAATTAAATTGAAATGTTGCTGACACGACAGAAAATTATCCCACTAAGCGAGAAAGTTGTGTTCATACGGGAAAAACGTCCCGGTCACCAAGATCTCGCCTGTCAACAAACGAGATCGAACTTTTCATATTATTTTCATACCAAGGCGAGATCTCGCTACTCGCTAGTAAACTTGTCAAAAAAGTTTCTCGCTAACCGGGATAAATAGTTTTGCCCATATGAACAGGCCCTAAAAAACTGGTTAGCAGTCAACCTCCCTTGGCAGTGTGTTATCAAAATCTAAAACTGTATCTTTACTACTTGTTTATGTCATATACAGTATACTACATTTTTGAAAAAAAAACACGAATAAAAACCTAAATTAAACTATTTAAGTTCGACAGTTTAATTAAGTTTCACTCCAGGATACCAGCTATTTTGCCATTTTGTAGGTACTCGTCTACTTTCTGGTCCGCCTTCATTTTGACCAATCAGATCACGATCCACAAAATCTCTTAGTCTGATTGGCTAAATGAAGTGATCCGTTAATCCCACCAGGCCGTAAAGGAGTTTGGGTAATTGCGAGCTGCCTTGTCCCCAGGCGCTATAAAATAATGTGGCTCACAAGTGCCACAGCGAAAGTAACTGAGCTACGGGAAAAAAAAAGCAAAGGAAAAGCAAAACAAAGCAAACGAAAGCAAAACAAAGCAAACGAAAGCAAAACAAAATAAACTCATGGGAAAATAAAGTTAACTCACGCCAAAACGAAATTAACTCGGGCCTCTGGGCAAAATAAAAAGTCACGGCAAAATAAATTAAACTTAACATTAAAAACGCTCGAAAGAGCGTTAACTCGCTGGGGCTCTAGTGATACGCATGTTAGAATTTAGACAATTGCGAGTTGTGACCTTTGGGATACTAATCCAATGGGTTCGATTTCAATTCCACCATGGTCAGACAAACTTTTCAGCTTTCCCGGTGTGGACGCACACTCAGAGTAACATCGCAAACATCTGATATTCACCTGAGTATATAACACAAACACACACAAAAAGTATCATATATCATAAAATACTTGGATATCGAAGAACTACACCCAGTTCCGAAGTATAACCAACTCGTTCTCAAAACTTAGGGTTATTTATGGATAATTTGGGCAAAAATTGGCAGCTCATTAATATTCTATTTTGTGGATCATCTTGTGATCCACATAGTCATAGTCATCCGGATGTAATTCAGGCTGACGAGGCTGACACCTTTTTTCACACCAATTTTTCAGATTGAAGACAATAGTATGCGCCATAACGTGCATAGTTCTGTTTGTTTGTGGAAAAACAAAGCGATAAGAACTCTCTCCAGCAGTGAAGCCTCAACTGAAAATCATTCATGTTAACTGAAAAGTGCAGTGTGTGTTGCCTTTCAACGAGATCCAGGTAGGTCATCCAGAACTGCGCAGTTTTCCCGTGATAACCGTGAAGATATTCCATCTTTTTCTTCATGTACTCCGCCTCCTTGTGCATTTTAAACGCTCTTTCTGACATAACTTCTTCGCAGTCAACCTGTCACGATCCCCTTAATCGACGATGCTATTTCTTCTGGACAACCGGCTTAACTAACGTTTCACAAAACAATCTCTCAATCGCTTCGGCAAAGCATTCATGAATCCTCCAACTTCGGTTGTAATGTTTTCCTGATAAAACACCTTTAATACCTCCGGAGGTACAGAGTCCTGCTTGGTATACAACTTCTTCAAAACCACTGCCTTGCACTATTTTGCCTATGATGGAAAAAAATGCCATCATCCCATCAAAGTCACCCAAATGTATCAAGACTTTATCGAACTCCTGTGGATTGTTCCATAGAACGTGGTAGAATTTTGCTGCTGCGCCAGCATCAACCGTTATGTATATGTACGTCATATTCGATGTCTCTGCCAACTTCTGTGACTGGAAGATACATTCTAGCACTGTACTATAGTCCGTTATTGGATTGCGAATTGGGGGCAAGAATGTAATTATTGTGCGTTTACAATTTATTTTTTCAAAAATAAGGCAAATCCAACCAACGAATCTCAAAATGGTTTGACTGATAGCACTGTAAGCTTGCCGTAGGAGATTCCAGCACATAAGAATTCGAAATGCATCCGAAGCATTGTACTCGAAAGTAGTTGTCCCTGAAAACGATTTCGGCTCTCTGTGCGGCGTAATTTTTCTATTTGACAAATCATGCAAGTTGACCAGATCTCCGTTGCCTCGGCTTGTCCGGAACATCATTCGAAGATTTTTTCGCTTTAAAACGGATACAGCATTTGTGAATTTCTGATAACACTCCCGGTGAAAACCATGCGTTTCGGAATCAAGCGAGTCTCGCAAATTATCAATTTGTTCTTTGTGGATATATTCGCCACCTAAAGTACGTCGGGCCTCTGCACTATCTTGTAACTTTTTAAATGTAGCTTCCTTAAGTGTTGTAATTTCTTCATTATTATCACCGAGATGTTCGTAGTGTCAGGGCCTTTTTTAAGGATTTTCCCGGGGGGGGGCATTTTTTGAAAAGGGACCTTTCTGTGAGATAATATATTACAGGGAGATAGCAATGGCTGAAGGCCACGTGTGCGCCGAACATACCATGCACGCATAAATGAGGGGGGGGGTACTCCCCCAGAAAATATTTGAAATTTGAAGCACAGAAATGCCATTTCCTGCATTCTGAGCATCCAAATGCGCTCCAGAATGTATACTAACTATACTTGTATTTGAAATAAGAGAAGGGAAAAACCTACAAAAAGTAAAAAAAATATTAACCATAATTTATCATTACTTATTAGAGGAGGATCCCAATGGTCACGTGTGTGGGGGTGTACTCCCACAGAAAATGTTTGAAATTTGAAACACGGAAATGCCATTTCCTGCATTCTGAGCATCCAAATTTGCTCTAAAATTTATGCTAACTATACTTGTATTTGAAATAAAAGAAGGAAAAAATGCACAAAAAGTAAAAAAGAATGTTAACCGTAATTTATCATATACTTATTAGAGGGGGGTGGGCATAATCTCCACTTGTGTGGGGGCATAATCTCCAGAAAATTTTCAAATATGAAACCTGGAAATGCTCTTTCCTGCATTCTGAGCAACCAAAAAATAAAAAGTTATTAACAATAATTTATCATTACTTTGTGGTAAAAAAACGTAACAATTTAGATCGATTTTGTTAAACAAGGACAAAGGACAAAGCCTAAAACTTACTTTCCGTTTATTTATTTGTTATTCTTTGCTGTTTTGTTGGTATAAATTTAGGAAAAAGGGACTTTTCCTGGGGGGGGGCAAAATGTGATTTCGTGGGGAGCACAAGGGGGGCCCCCCAGCTTGTATGTTAAAAAAGGCCCTGCGTAGTGTATAACACATTTTAGTTTACTCATTGTTATGCCATCTCTATACACCCTTTTCATAAATGGCTGCCGATTAAAAATTCTTTTATGTGCATATAAATTGGCCCAACTAGCCTCGTACTCATGTTAAGATTTCAAAGGAATTTCTACCCAGAAGCGAGGCTAGTTGGGCCAATTTATATGCACATGAAAGAATTGTTAATCGGCAGCCATTTGTGAAAAGGGTGTATACACGGCAAAAAACGCCGAGCCCGTTGCTCAACAGGACTGAACAATGTTTTGCTGCCCACGTTGTTCACAACCTCGTACCCAGGGCTAGTCGCGAATTGAAGGCGGCGACGTAGCCTTCAATTCGCGACTAGCCCTAGGTACGAGGTTGCGTTGTTCACACTTGTCAACAATATTGAACAATGTTGTTGAGCCTGAATCGGGTGTAACAATATTGTTCAATATTGTTGACAGTTATGAACAATGTGGGCAGCAAAACATTGTTCAATCCTGTTTTCATAAGTATTGCATCAACCTGAGCGTTTTTTGCCGTGTAAACATAGCCGCCATGTTGCCCGCGAAAAAGTGTATATTTCATGTTACTGAAATATAAAGGATTGAAACTATGTAAAAGACAATTAATATAGGACACCCTGTGCATTTATATAAATTTCTATTGTTAAACTCGGATTAGATGCTCGTTCCAAATGCAAAAAATTTATTTCCGTTTCTAACTACGCGATACGGCAGGTACAAAACGCAGGTTGCAGGTTGCAGGTTGGAATTTTGCAGGTTGCGAATTTTGCAGGTTGGAATATTGCAGGTTGGGGATTTTGCAGGTTGGAATTTTGCAGGTTGCCAGGAACTTTGCAGCTTGATAATGCAAACTTAAAATTACACCACTTTTTTAGTATTCTAGTATAATTTAGTTGTGCATTTATTGCAGTCTGACTCCTTGTCGGCGCCTCTGCTCTAAGGCTAGTGGCCATCACCCCCGTGAAAACATTCAAAATGACCAGATTGGCTTGGACCTACAGGGAGACGAATGCAAGGGCGTAGGAACCGGGGGGGAGCAGGGTGGCCAAGACCTGAAGTTTTTCCAAGTGCCCTTTTTCCGGGAGCAAAGTGCCCTTTTTTGCGTTAAAAATGTTTTAAGGATTGCCTTTTTTTGCCCAAAGTGCACTTTTTGAAACTTGAATTTATGTTATTTTCTGGAATATTTTTTCATTCCCGGAAAAAATCTGATGTCCGAAAAATTTTGTTGTATTTCCGGAAATTTTTTTTCATATTTAGGAAAATTGGATATATCCGAAAAATTTTTTTTGGTATGTCCGGAAAAAATTTTCGAGACCTCCCCCCATCGCCAACATTTCCGAGAAAAAATTTTTAGATGCCCTTTTTTACTCAGAAAGTGCCCCTCAAAGCCTGCCCCCCCGCCCCAACTTTTAGAAGCTTCCTACGCCCCTGGACGAATGTTTTAATTGTTGCGAGGTGCCTACATGATGTGGCGGCGTTTATACTAGAATGCTGTTAAAAGTTAACTAACTCTCGAGTAATGATACGGTAATTGGGGGCTTGAGTGGTCTCATAAGTGGGTGCAGAGGAGAGACACCTCATTCAGGCATTTTCTGAACTGCCACCACGTCATGTAGGCTCCTCGCAACAATCGAAACATTCGTCCCCCTGAAGATCCAAGCCAATCTGGTCATTTTGAATGTTTTCACAAGGGTGATGAGCAGAGGCTAGAAACATGGCCGGCAGGATAGGCTGATATCAAAAGCGGCGACAAGGAGTCAGACTGCAATAAGTACACAATAAAATTATACTAGAATACTTTATAGTAGTGTAATTTTCAGTTTGCATCATCAACCTGCAAAATTCCTGTCAACCTGCAAAATTCCAACCTGCAACTGCGTTTTGTACCTGCCGCTACGCGATATATTTTAATTTGCATGTATATTTATATGATTTAAAGCGAGACTATATTCCCAATGTGACCAACAGTCCCAGATCTATGTTTTTTGTAGGAAATGTATTTCTAGTTGGATTCTGTATTGAAAAATGGGCTGGTAGAACTGTTTTTCTTGTCTTCCTAGAAATATTAAAAGGTAATTTGAAGGTGGACGTTTTTACGCGAAAACGAGCTTAATTGGGCTGTAACTCTTAAAAGCAGCCTCGTCAGCCTGAATAACATCCGGATTCGAATTCTACGTCAAAAATAGGTATAGAAGATCCAAGTCGCGTAAATTATACCCGCTCAGGTGATATCTACCTCACTCCCCGCCCGAACTACCATACTCGCATGGGCACAGAGACCCAGCGAGTAATAAAGTGACATTATGTGTAAAGGACTGTGCGAAAGTCTAAGCACCGGCTCAGTGCAGTACTTGAACCCCCAATTAAACAGCCGGCCCGGGTGAACGCCTCTGAGAACCCTTAATAGAGGTTATCATCACTGGGCCTGACCGTTTCTATATGGACCCAACCGACCATAACAACGGATCATAACCTGTGTCAATAACATGTATATATATATAGATATATATATGTGTGTTTTGCGCAAAAATCTGGACTTTGTTTTGGCCAATACGTTATTGGCAATAACCCCTCCCCCAAAAAATGTTCTTGAAATAAATACCAGTTAAAAATGAAAATCTGAAATTTCAATTTATAACTGGAAGCACAATTTGTGGACATTCCTTATTTCCTTGAATGATTCCAGCTGGTATATAAAATGGCGTGCTGTTCTGGAGGTGGTTACAGCACAAATCGCTTCAAAATTACTGTGGATAGCAACTTTCTTTGTCCAATCTGTGCTGAAGTTTTAAAAGAACCTGTTCAATGTCAAAATCAACATTATTTCTGCAAAAGCTGCATAAAGAAACACCTTGAAAAGAATGCGAAATCATGCCCTATATGTGTGCAAGATCTGAGCGAGGAAACATTGGCTCAGCCTCCTAGGATTCTTACAGATTATTTGAATGGTCTTTTAATTAGCTGTGATCACTCGGAAAGAGGTTGTACTGAGGTGCTACCAGTTTCAAGACTACAAGCACATGTTCCTGAGTGTAACTACCGTCCCATTGTTTGTACAAATGAGAAATGTGGACAAACATTCAACCAAGAAGATCTGGCTGAACACGTGATCAATGCATGTGAGTACAGACTGGTACGTTGCCCTGACTGTGAGGATGAAATGATTTATAAGAAGTTCAGTAAGCATGCATGTGTACTTAGTAAGGATCTCAACAAATTGGGACTAGAATGGTCAGAAATAAAAAATGTTTTGGGACAAGTATGCAATTCCCAGAAGGAAATGTGCAATTCTCAGAAAGAAGAATGTGATTCACAGAGAGAAATGTATCGTTCCCAGAAAGAAATGTGCAATTCCCAGGAAGAAATTTTGAATGCGGTACGAGACTTGGTACATGTTCAACGAAACATAGCAATCTCTTCAAACCCACAAGCACCCTCACCAAATGTTATCGCTAGTGTTATGGTTATTGGTGGCAAGAATGCAGAGGGTAATTTGAGCTCAGTTGAAGTTTTGTATCCAGGTTCTCAGACATGGAAAGTGTTGCAATCCATGCAAGAATCCCGTGGTTCTGCGGCATCAGTATTGTATGGAAATGATGTCATTGTCAGTGGGGGACGGTTCATTGGAGGTTGTAGTGATACAATAGAAAGATTATCATTGGTTTGCAAGCCCTTAAAGTGGATTCCTTACTTTGTGAAGTTGCCTTTTAACTGTTGTGGACATAAAGTCATTGTTATTAACAATTGTCTTTATTTGGTTGGTGGATGTGCTGGGAAGACACCTTTCAACATCATCTACAGCATCTTACTTCATCCCCCATATACCATAGAAATGAAATGCGAAATGCCACGGCCAATTTGTTTTCATGGTCTGCAAGCTTTTGAAGAGTTGTTGTTTATATTTGGGGGATCAACAACAAACTTATGTAGACAAGCAGTTGACAGTGTATTGTCGTATAATACACTATATGGCGAGATTTCTGTAATGGAGCCTTTGCCGTTTGCAATTTGTGATGTAGCTACTGTAAGATGGAATGACAATGTCATCATTATTGGAGGCACTTCCACTAATACTGTGTCTTTAAACACAGTGATTCTCTACAGCGTGAAGGAGAATAAGCATAAGATGTTGCCGTCAATGAGGCATGCAAGGTCGTCATGTGCAGCGACAATTGCTGGTAACAAAGTTATTGTGATGGGAGGTTATGATTGGTTTGAAAAGAAATACCTTGATTCTGTGGAATGTTTTGACCTTGATCGTCAACTGTGGGAAGAACTTCCACCCATGAATGAAGCCCGGAGTGAGGCCACTGCTGTGGTTTATGCTGGACTATTTTAGTGTGGATTATTATAGCTTAAAATAACAGGTGTGTACAGAACCATTTCTTGAGTTCTGGCTTTGACAAACTGGAGTTGCAGCCCAGAATTAATGGAAATAACATTGTTAATTTAATAATTATTATGGATTACAGTCTGTTCTCGGCTTTATACCAGACTGGACTCTGCATTAGAAACATTTCATATTCAAGAGATGATCAGCAAAAGGTTGGAGATATATTATATTTCCACTATATAATGGGTTTTGATGGGGTTTTTTTTAAATTTACAGTACCATGTATATTATCAATGTAACTCTTACTATTATTGGTTGTTATAGATTTCCATATCATAAACTGGTAAAAAAAATATTTCAATGTTTACCACTAATGGTATTTTCCTGATTTTCCTGTGCACAGGAAAAAATAAAGTACTGTCAATGGTAAATATTAAATGTCATGGTTTTTACTAATTTACCACATTGAAAATTTACAATAACCAATAATGGTAAGAGGTCAGTTTTTACATTCAAAAACCCATTATTGGAAAGTTAATTTCTTTCCCTGTGGCTATCTCCTGGATTATTCCACTAATTCCAGATTAGGCTGTCAGTAGTACTGTTGATGCATTAATTTTCCATCACATTGTTGTATATTTAGCAGTGTAGAGTGTACCATAGGTTCTTGCTAGTGATACGGGCTTCACAATTGAGTTGAAGCTGGATTTTGAAATTGTCCATGTTTCTTGTATCCAATATTGCACTTTAGGTACAGGAAGCAAAAACGTAGGTGTAGCATTACACAGAGTAATACTTTAGGATTAGAGTTTAGTATACTGTAAGAATATTATGTGAAATATATATATAATATATATATTGTCTTTTTGTTTATCACCCTAATTTATTATTGTACTCTGTCTAACACCAGACGACTTTACTCGTCAAGGGGAGAATGCTGGCTCTCAACGGGTTGATAAGTTTTTTAACAGAATTTTTGGCATCCACTTGCAATTTATTGACCAGCGAACACAAAATCCCTACCTGTACGTAACGTGTTACTCCATCCAGTACCACCAGTACAGCCACAATTTTAGTGTACCTTATCTGACTCGTACCCATCCCTGAACAAGGATTGAAAACAATAGTGTTGCATGATGGGAATGATTAAGGCTCGAAAGTCGACCTTCCCTCATCATTTCCACCAATGTACTCATAATCTATAATTTATAGGTTTGATGACTGGGTACTAGTCAGGTAGGCCTACCATATATTACATACAGCGTTCATACAGGGTACATTTGAATGTAATAATTATTGAGTGCCACTTTCAAATAAGTGCCGTACTTATTCACAAAACAGGGCTGTAGCAACCGTGGTGCTGAAGAGTCTAGTAAGCATCCCCAGTATTAATGCTGACAAATTTGGCATAATTAACAAGTTGCTTCCCATGATCGAGCGCCAATGCGCCAAACTTTTATATTCTTAAGCCGGTTTTCCACTAGCAAATTTTTTCACACAAAGCAACTTTTTCCTGTCGGCATCCATTTTGCCACGTCTTGCTGACGTAATAAGTGATAACGACAAAGGAAAAGGGTCACTTCGCGCGAAAAAATTCGCTAGTGGAAAACTGGCTTTATGCCAAATGATTTTACTCATCAAGGGGCGAATGCTGGAGCTCAACAGGTTAATTAAAAGTATTTCTGCAAGCAGGGCTTGAAATAACAGCCGATCACTGATTGGCAAGAAATTGCTTATGTCGGAGAAAAGCAGGGTTTCCAACCTGAAAAAGCAGGGAAAGTCACCATGACCCATATACAATTAGCTGGCCTCTGAAAGTATAGCCACTTGAATTGCAAATAAGCTGAATGGTACTATTTTCAGAACTTGAAAGGGTTTTTGGCACTCCACTTGGTTGAATTTGAATGCCAGTGAGCATATATATACACAAGAAGAAGTATGTATATCTCAAGCTGCCCTTTATTAATGAAGAGCTCAAGCGCCGTGCCTTATCTATAGTCCGACGATCTGATCCATACATGTCCAATACTCCCGCATTTCACGACTCGTTACAAGTTGTCACGAGTCGTGAAATCCATCGCAAGGTACAAGTCGATATAACTCGTCACGAATTTCGTCACGAGTCGTAAAAACGCAAAAATAGTACCGGGTATCATCTCTTCTGAATTTACGAACTTGCTTACATGAAGTTTGCAATGCCTAGTCTTCATATGATGTTGTGCTGATGTGGTTCACGAATTTCGTGACGAGTCGTAAAAAGGCAAAAATAGTATCGGGTATCATATCTTCTGAATTTACCTTTCCTGTATAATCCCTGCCGTAATATATATTGATGCCTGTTCTTCAAAAATACAGTCTACAATTGGCATTGAGCGATTGCGCGTATGCAGTATGTTTGGCATTGCTAGCTTCACTCTAGCTTCACTGAAGCTTGTATATCTTTATATTTCCCGAGTGCTCCTTTATATATCGGTAAAACACTTGCATGTCTGGTGATAAAATCCTAAATAAGCCATGTCAGTGAATATTCTATACGGTTGTATAGAATATTCATGCATCATACAATATATATATATATATTGTGATCATGCCTCGTTCTTCAAAAACCACTCTGCAAGTACACTTTGGCATTGAGCGATTGCGCGTATACAATTTGGCATTGCTACTTCACTGAAGCTTACATATCTTTATATTTACCGACGAGTCGTAAAAAGGCAAAAATAGTATCGGGTATCATATCTTCTGAATTTACCTTTCCTGTAAGCCCTGCCGTAATATATATTCATGCCTGTTCTTCAAAAATGCAGTCTACAATTATACTTATACTTCGGCATTTTTTGCTTTATTGAATTTGGTATCTTTATATAAAGTCATATCAGTGAATATTCTATACGACTGTATAGAATATTCATGCATCAAACGATATATATCTATATATTGTGATCATGCCTCGTTCTTCAAAAACCACTCTGCAAGTATACTTTGGCATTGAGCGATTGCGCGTATACAATTTGGCATTGCTAGATTCACTGAAGCTTGCATGTATAACGCCGGATTCCGCGTATACAGTTTGGTATTGCTGGCAGTTCACTGAAGCTTGTATATCTTTATATTTACCGAGTGCTTAAACACTTGCATGCATGGTGATAAAATCCTAAATAAGCCATATCAGTGAATATTCTATACGATTGTAAAGAATATTTCATGCATCATACAATATATATATATATTCTGATCACATGGCTAGAAATCCAATACAGTATGGCGGAAAAGCATGCATGCAGAGCGCAAATTAAATAAATTCAAAATGGCGGCAATGTATAGAATTGATAGAGGGAAAACTATATTTCTGTTTTTTTGTTTTATAACCAAATATCGCGACAAACTGACAAGGCTAAATGAGTTCCCTAGCTCGATAGCTT